CAAAGTATATGCACCATACCACGACCCGATGCGCTCTGGACGCTGTGAGTCAACGCACGTACCGTGCATCGGCACTGGCTGCTGTCGAGCAGCCTGCCAGGAGTTCCACGTAATGAACTCGTCGTGCATGACACACATGACGTGCACGGAGCACTTATGGTAGCTGTGGTACGTGTCGTACACAGCGTACCTCGTGTACGGGCCCATGGACCTGTACACTGTGCTTGCACATGCGTCGTGCATGATGCGAGCACTGGCCATGAATCTGTTCAGGCGACAGCACAGCAGAAGCTGTTGCCGCCAAACATGGTAACCTTGTGGTGGGCGTACCGCACCAAAGGTTAGTACCGTACGGTACATGGTGTCGATGGGAGACACCTACACCACGGGTTGTGTACCGTCACGGTACACGGTGTCGATGAAGGACACCTGCGCGCCGTTGGTATGTTGACCAAGACGCGAAGAGAGCGAGGCAGAGCTCCGCCCGCAAGGATGGATCCTTGCTGTAGCCAAAGGCATGGCTCGAGGTCAGCGGAGAGCTTCCTCTAGTACTGGAGAAAGGTATTGCCCTTCTCGGTGTCGTCCCTCGCGGGAGACACTATGCTCCGAACGCGTTCGCGAGGACTGTCGTGTCCTCTGGTGCGAACTGTGGGCGAATGCCACACGTTCGGATGCTACTGCACCCTGTGCCATAGCACTGTACGAGTGCTAGCGCAGGAGCTAAGGCAGCTCTGAGAGTAGGCTTTGCGGCCAACACAGTTGTGAGCATAGGGATGCAAATCCCAGTGAGCTTTGGCAGCACAAGTCACTGTGGGTGTGACTGAGAGCCGCGCCAGTCTCGTGGCTGCTCAGTGTGAGAATTCACCTTTTGGTGTTTTAATTATCTCACCTCTGATTGGAGAATCAGTTGTGATTAGAGAATCAGGTGATTCTCAGCTAAGTGCGGGAGGATGTAACGGGGTACAATCCAGTGTGCCCCATGTTACATAAAGAGTGACCCGTCACTCTTGTGGACACCTGGTACACGGTACCAGGTGCTCTCGGAACCAGTCAGTGCATGACTACGAAATACTATTAGCATGGGAAGACCTTGAGGATATAGAGAGCTCGTGAAAGCCTATCCGCACGCTACATGAAGACGTTCAACTCAAACAACAAAACTACGTCGCTCACGCGGCTGACGTCAAGCTGTCGGACTACCTGAGAGCGTTAGACAAGGCATACCAGCCAACGCTACGTGAACCTACTGCTGCTGGTAGAGCGATGGCACTGGCGCTTATGACAGCCAAACAATCTGCTGACAAGCAGAAAACGCAAAGGCCACGACAGACTCGAGCTAATAGATCTACTAAGCCTCGTCGTCGCCCCTTTACGACTAATAGCTCGCACTGGGGGCAATGTAGTGTTTATGGATCATGCGGCTATCCGTTTCTAAGGCAAGGACGAGATAACGGACGTCAACAAGAAACCTGCGACTATTGGCAAAAAACTACTACATATTAGTTACCAACGAGCACTAGGAGAAAACAGACTACATATCATGCATGACAGCATAGGAACAGAATAAACACAGCTGAATTCACTTATCCAAGTTCAAGTCGGCTAGCAACAAGGTAACGCTCGACTTCAAGATCAAGTTCAGTGTGTAAATGCTCAAGACACTACATATGTTCTGTTACTATCAATGGCATAATCCAAAAGCAAAAATAAGATGATTGGATTCGAAAAAAAAACGCTGGTTCATGAACTGGTCAGGTCCGGAAACATGTAAACTACGTTATGCCTGCTTCAGATCAAAATAGGTGGTTGATCATAATTGGTCATCCACAATTGGGAGTCTAAATCAGACCAGCGTACCAGAGTAATAAATGAGTCTAAAGCTATCCTTAGAATAACCCCAGCAAGCAAAAATTAAAGGACAAAAAAGAGGACCAAAAGTTGATGACATTGCTTGGCCTCAGTTTTGGTAGATGCTCCTATAAAGAGAAAGAAACCCCTGTATTAGCTCTATACAGCCATACTAGCAACTCTTCGTTAAACCTATGCGTTATTGCATGAGGTGATGTGCCGTAAGGTGTCTGGAATGACTTCCCAGAGAGTGTTTTGTCCAAAAGTTAAGGACAAAGTCGTCAAATTCGATGGTATAATCAAGTATAATTTCAATTCCATTCAAAGTGGCGTCGGGTGTCTCAAGTATCATACCAGACAGAGGCAATTGTTTTTTGTCCTTATAATCGAGGTCTTAAGGACAAAATCAGTCGGAATTTGACGATCTTGCACCTTATTTCGCCCTCATTTTAAGGACAAATTTTGTTGGGAACACATCTCACAATAAGATACAGTATGTATCTTTATAAATAGTAAATGGCTTATTTAAAGCAATCGTCCGACAAGTGAGTGCTCATGAAAAGAGAGGCTGCCGTACTGCAAGACCCTTAGCAACTCAGACACAATTTTGACATCAGCTGTAAATAAATGTCAATCCAAAGTTTATACAGTACTTCTTTTTTTTACTGACGTGCTTTGTTTTGAGCAGCTCCTTTTCAGTGAACTTTCTCCTAACTTCAATTTGATGTGTCCCACACAACTTCAACGTGCACTAGTTGCGGTTTCCACGGAAGTTTCTCGAAGCTGGACGTCAGACAACCTTGGAGCCATGTGGCGTGTGTTGCGTCAATAAAGGAGTCCGTGGGCGCACTGTGACGTGAAAGCCTCAGCACACGCGCATGAACCAGTGCCAGTTGAAGCGGCGGAGAGTCAGCGGTTAATGACCGAAAAATAACCGAACGAACTTCGCTGTATGTCGCTGCTGCCCGCATCTTTGGGCTTACGTTGGCCGGCCTCCCGGCTCTAGCAGTTACGAATTTCTATCAAGTGCAGCAACCCAATACGCAGCTCGAAACAAATCCTGAAGACCAACATTCGCTGCTTTAAGAGCTCCAACACAGAGCGATGGACCGAGTGTTGAGCTCTCCAACCAAGCAGAAGGCGCTAGTGCGACTTATGAGCTCCGATCCGTCGCTATTGGACGGACTGGACAACGACGTGCTCGCGTCGATCACGTTATTATCGGATCCTCCTGAGAAAGCATGGGACAGGCGGCCAACGCTCTTGAAGCGAGAGAGCCGTAGAAACAATGCTGAGAGGAAGACCATCCAGCTGTACCCGGAAGATGCAGTCTTTGCAGAGAAGAAGAAGCCGACACTGACACTCGCGTCTGGAGGGATCAGCCATGCGAAGAAAGCAACGTTGGTTAGAGCGAATACAGTGTTGCTGTCTCCGTCGAGTAATGCGACGGCTCTAGCGGCTTCCACGCGCAGCAAGCAGGATGGCAGGACAGATAATGGGTTCTGGACGGAAGACAGCAGTACGATGCGTCACACAAGTGTGGCTAGAAGAAGTACCTTCTATCCAGCGGTACAGCGTCAGAAGCCTCCACCCGTAATCTTGTTTGATGACAGCATGCTGAACGTAGAGGATAGAGGCACAAAGGATCATCAAGGTAATGGCAGGAGTGGCTCCACCAAGAAGAGGGCGAAAAGGATGAGACGGCGGGAACGGAAACTAGGCTCCAGCAGCGGTAGTAGTAGCAACAGCAGTACTAACAAGAGCGAGGACGAATCCAACCAGCAGGAGGCGGAAAAAAGCCGTTTAGTATCGGTAATGATGACTCGTGGCAGTGCCAGCGTGGAATCTGATAGTGACGATGGAGTTCAAGCAGCCAGTGCAATTACATCGTCAGTTGTATGCGATTCTAGATTGGCATCGAGTTTGGTGTCACGAGATCAATGGAACCCACGAAGGTAAGCTCGTATTTGTTAAGCTCACTTATGTAAGCCTGAACTTACTAACATGTTTGTATTACTGGCTCCTGCTCAGTGCTCGGAAGTCTTGTTATGTCTGTTTGCGAGAGTTCAACGTACTACGGAAGCGCCATTCGTGTCGAATGTGCGGCGAAATAATCTGCAGTCGGTGCTCCGTGTACCGGGAAGTTCACTTTCCGGTGCTGGAGAACAAGCTCCGTATCTGCTCCTGTTGCTTTGTAGCGTACAGGAAGAAATTGGAGGAAGACAGTCAACATAGTTACGGCGAAGATACAGACGCTGATGATGGCAGTGCTGACCATCGGGAGTCAGCGGCACGCGGTGGATCCCTAGCTGTGTCGAATTCGGAGCTACGTGATCCATCAGCCTCAAACGCTGTGTCATTCCAAGTATCGCCGTCGCTTTCGCCATCAGAGAACACATCTGACCGCTCTTCGTCCAGGAATACGATCAACACAATGTCGGACTTATCGTTTAGTAGCGATACGGTGTACGAAACGTTCTCGTCTGGCAGCTTTTGCGGCTCTCGCAACACGGAGGAGGAGCTTGAGGCTGTTCTTAAAGCGAAGCAGCTCGAAAAAGAGGCCGAGGCCAGTCAACAACGCATCCAAGTATTGGAGGCGCAAATCGCCACTCAAGAAAGCCACCAAGATCTCCTTTCGACGGAGCAGCAAGCTCAGCTCGGAGAAGCTCGCGCTACAATTAAGATACTGCAGGAAAAGCTTCGTATGCAAGAAGTGAACGCTAGACAGGCTGCACACAACAGAGACTCGATCTGCCTGAGCAAGCTAAGGCAGACAGAGTTGTACGCAAACGAAGATGACGAAAGTGCGGCGCTTAAGAAGAAACTTACAGTGCTGGAACGACAACTCAAACAAGCTGGCATCTCTGTGGCGGAGGTTATTCCGTACGAACTAGCGAAGCGGAAGGTGGCAGAGGTATCAAGGAGACTCCAAGAGATTGGCTCTTCCGAGGTGGTGTTGGAAGATAAACAGGCTCAGGCTGCTGCTCGAAAAGAGTACTATATTCTTGAGCAGGAAATGGAGAAGTATCACATGGCTCTTGTCATGACGGACGAGTACATCGAAGAGCAGCGACGTCAAGAGCAAGAGTGGGAAGACGCAAATGAAGAAGCGAACGTCGAAGCCTTACTCCTCTTACGCTCTGCCATTCCTGTGGACATTTCGCGGCTGTCTGAGAAAGAACTCAATGGGCTTGTGACGCCGACAGGAGCGACCTTCCCAGCTGAACTTGCCAGGAGACTGAAGCGCACGAATGTGCTGCAACTACTGCGAGCTGATCCAAAGACGATCGTGAAGATGCACCCCAGTGTGATTGAAGGATACCGTACGACAGGGCTTACGCTACTGGAGCGACGCGCCCTTCACGCTGTGTTGAAAGAACCGTTCAAGGAGTGGAAGAAACAGCAGAAGGATGCAATGGCACAAAAGAAATTTGCGTGGTACTGCAAGCTCAAAGAAGCCTTCGTCACTGCTGCAACCAATCTCAAGACTCACTGCAATTCTACTTCTGGGCATGACTTCGGTAACATCGCTATCGTTCCACCACACAAGTGCGAACTTATGGGCTTGGCGTGTCCAGTGCGCTCGGAGGAGAAAGTGCGGAAGCTGTATTGTGGACTAGGCTTCACTCCGGAAGCTGAGTTTATCAAGGAAGATATCTTGAAAAGTGATCCTGAAAATGCTGGCGAGAAAGCGTTGCTGGAGGCACAAACCCACGTTCGAGAAATGGTAGCGAACCAGCGTCAAAGAGACCTGAAAGCGCACTACAAAACAAATATGCGCGAGATTGCGCAAGCTGTGGGCGCATTAGAAGACATGGACTCGATCATGGAGCAAATACGCGCTTTGGATGACTCTTTTCCGTCTGTGGAAGGTGGCGAGCTTGAGCAGCAAAACCAGTGCAATTCACTGCTGAACAGCGCTCGTGAGCTGACTTTACTACTTGCAAAGCGTGCAGGCATTTGCATTACGGGAAAACGGGACCCCGCAAAAGACGAAGCGGACACTCGCTCACCTGTGGAAATCCGTGAAGCTTGTCAAGCCATTGTCTTCTTGCAGGAAGTACTTGCGGATGTTAAGGCTTTACTCTTCAATGACGAAGGATTCCTTCGTGAAAGTCACTCTATCACTGCAACAGCGACATTCAAGGCGGTGGGAGAGTTGGTTGACGATGTTCGAAAGAAGAACTCAGCAGCAATGGGTGACGAGATTATCTCTGTGAGTGGTGTGAACCGAGCTCCTTGGGCGAAGAGAAACGTCCCCGCTAAATCAGTTGATCAACAGCTTCCGTTCAGCTCTTCATCGAACGATCGACCTGCTGCTCTGCCCACCAGTGCTCCTCTCTTTGACGCCATAAAGGCTCGACGCAAGCAGAAAAATCAACGCGTCAGTACAAGGGACAGCTTCGCCAACAAGATTGAGTCGCCAATGGAGACACCACGAGCCAGTAAACCTCTCGACTTGATGGCTGCTATTCGAGCTCGAAAGCGTGCTCAGTCTGGCGACACTACGCAACACTAGGACCGTCAGAGCCTGCATGTTAAGAGGTTTATTTGCGAGTCATGGGAAGAGCACAAGTAGGATCAACCAAATCATAGTCGTTGTCACTTCACTTGGTTATTTGGACGCACAGCCCTTTACCTCCGCTCCATGCTTGTCGGGCGTGGGGTTGCTATTCACTATTAACACTCTTGTCTATTCCCGAGTGTGTGGCGATTGTACATCCTTCTTGTTGCACCCTTACTGAACGATAAAGCACATGTCCACAGGCTTCGGCGAACGCTTCAGTAGTTCCATCGTTTCCCCGAGCCGTAAGTTGCGGGTGGATTGATTGTTGAATGACACCAGCCAGTCACCCGGACGCAGTTGTGTCAGACCCGGCGAATAACCTGAACCGGTTAGTCGTGACACGACAATCTGGCCGTTCTTGCGCTTGAATGTGATGCCAAGCGGACCATCACTCCAGCGCACCCACAGCTCTGGAAGAGGTAGCTGCGGCGATGGGGCGGTGTCCAGAACTGATCCGCCTGAAGGCTGGCGTTGGTGACGCACCACAAGACCCGAATCGTCGATATCCGAGTATGTACTCACCATTGTCGCACTTCCGTTCTGCAGCATATTGCGTTGACGCTCCGATTCAATGTATTGACGTCGAAGCTCCTGTAGTCGACTTGGTTGGCCGAGAAATGATGGGGTTTCCTCTGCTGGAGGTAATGGATCGTCAGGATACATTGGAGCAGGAGGCAGAGGTCCATCAGTGCCGTGGGCTTCAAATGGAGGAGGGCGCTCTATATGGTCACCGAAATACTCGTCACCTGCTGATTCATCATCGGGGATGTTGTGGAGGTCCATACTGCGAGCGGAAGGGGGCACGACCGTGATGGGATCTTTGGCTCTTCCAGACGCCGTGAATACGTCCATGTAAGATGGAGGTGGTGGCAATCCTGTGAGTGACGGGCTCTCATCTCGGGCCTCTGGCGGGAAACTATCTTCCTCTGGATAGTCATCGTCGTCATTCTCACCTGTAGCGTTCGGCTCCGTGCCGGGGAACGGCGGTGGAGGTGGTAGGTCTGAGTAGCTGGGTAGATCGTTCTCCAAGATACTTCCGTCTACATTCAATAGCCGGCCGGAATTATTGCGAGATGCACTCGAACGCGGCGAGTCTGCCAGGTAGTCGTAGCTCTGCAGACTAGTACCGTCATCAGACGCTGCATAGTTCTCTAGGTCTTGATATCCGCCACCAAAGTGATTCAACGAACCTCCGCGGCTTTGAGCTCTCTGTCGAGCTGGGGTGTATCCAGCGCTGTGTGCTCGTGCGATCCCTGCTGCAGCGGCAGCGGCAGCTTCCTCTTCACGTAATTGCCTGAAAGACGGTACTGCTGACGATGACGGCAAAGGTGCCGGCGCCGGTGCCGGTAGACCCGGATGTCTTCCACGTGATTGTGCGCGGCTGTGACCACGTCCGCGTCGCTGAAAGACGAGAACTACAGGCTTCTGAACGGTTTTAAGCAGTTCAAAGGCGCCTGCAATACCCAAAGAATCAACGTCGACTCCTGCCACACGCACAAAGATGTCGCCTGGCTTGACCGAGTTGTTCACACTTGGATCACCTGCACCTGTAAGTCGCGCCACCACGACACGACCCTTGCTGGACGTACGAATCTGAATGCCCAACGGACCTTCACGCCATAGCACCGTGTACTGCTTTGGATCCAGCGGTGCAGCTTCTGCTCCAGGTGTATCCTGGAACGTCTCTCTGTTGCTCTGAGGCCCCCTGTAGCTTGGCGGGAGGTCGCTAAAGCTAGAAGGTGGCTGTCGTGCTCCACCTCGGTGGAATCTCAAGTACACGGGCTTCGTTGCTCGCATCATCAAAGTGACTGTGCTCTTAAACCCAATCTCCTCGGTACGCAAGCCGTTAATACTCACAAGAATATCGCCCGCCGCAATCTGTGCCACCGACGGCGTGACACCTGTACCCGTCACGGATTTAACCGCAGGAAGTCCATTCCGCTGCTTCAATTCACACCCCAATGGCCCTTCACTCCACACAACATCGTACTCAACATCTGTCGGGTCTTCTGAGGGCGCTTCGTTCACTTGCGGCATATACGTCGGGGAAGACTCTCCCCATCCTGCTCCTCGGTTACTTCGCATGTCCACTGTCGCATTAGATGATACTGGAGATCCGCAGAAAGCTGATGTCGCATCACTACTATGAATCGAAGAGCCCGTGCGAGGAAGTCCCCACTTCGATGTAGCCGAGGAAGCTGCGGATGCCAAGTCGCTCAATTTAAGCGGTCGGAAGTCCAGTTTAATCGGGAACTCGGGGTTCTTCAATTGCTCAATCACCTCGCTAAAGGGCGTAGCAGAGACGCTGACGCCATTGAGTGCGAGCAGTACGTCACCTGCTCGTGCGTATTGCAGACCCGTCGCCGCTCCCTTTTTATTAACGCGGCGAATCACAGGCTGACCATTGGCGTTGGCCTTGAATAAAAGTCCGAGAGGGCCTCCGTCCCATGAAATTTCATAGGTATCGTCGTCTTCTTCGCCGTCATCGTCATCGTCATCGTCTTCATCGTCCCCGTCTTTTTTCGATAAACCTGAACCGCCGTTGGGGTCGTCTAACTTGATATTTTCCGCTAGGGCCAACGCCTGTAGCTTCTCGAAGACTGTCATGTTGGCAGACAACTCACTGGTGCCACTGTGGTTGCTGCTTCGATGTGACGGCGCCGACTCGAGGAACGATATGTTCTCCACCTCGTCCAGACTGCGCATTTTGTCCATCTGGCGCTGTACGAACTCGTCTTGACTGAGAGTCTCGTCCCCGTAAGCCGAGTCGTCCGAGCACGCCGAATCGCCGCGGGCCGCGCGCGGGTCCGCCATGGCGTTGGCTGGGAGTGTTAAGAAGTGAGAGGTGTTGTGTGCTGTGCGCGCGACGTCGGACGTTCGCCACTCCGCGAGATGGAAGGACGGCGCAGGCGAGATTAAACACGCGATGGGGAATGAAGTCGTACAGTGTTGCAGCAAAAGTTGAGCCTGAGATAGTTGATAGTTGTGGAACATAGGGAAGTTTGTAAGGACAGCAGGACTCAAATCATGACTGGAAGAGCTCGATTAAAATAGGCAGGTACAGTGGGAACCATAATTAATTGAGTTTTGTTCATTTGACTATTATAATTAAAAGGGGTTGTGATAAATTATTAACGTAAACGCCGTTGACCCTGCATCTTTGTTTGCCGCATTTTGTGCGATGATTGCCGTGTTGGCCAGTTGTAGGTGCCACATTGTCGGAGCTCTGAAAAAGTTAGCTGCAGCCTTCAATGGCATTATATGTACAGTATTGCACCGCGGGTTTTGCTGTTATGTCTAAAAGTCGCGTGGTAATCTCGAGGAAAGGTAAAGGTGTCACCGCGCGTCGAATCTCGGTGAGTCGGAAACTTCCTCTTCGCTCCAGTACTGGTACAGAAGTAGAAGAAGGAACGAGACGCACAGCAAATCTTAAAATGTTTGTAGTTCCACCGAAAATGCAATACATCATGTATTATACATGTAGGGGCATTCACAAGTCGCACAAAAAGTGGTGGTGCTCAGAGTGCCCCTACGGTAAAGGCGACGCCCAGCTCAGATCGGGTACAACTTCTCACTTATCCTTCAAGGACGAAAAAATTACTGAAGTATCTGCATTCATTATTCCCCCATTCTATAGACATAATCCTGATATAACTTCAAGTATCTACGCTGTTACGGCGTTGTTCAAAATTCGCTTTCTTTCAAAGACGCACCCCATCGATCGTTGTAGCTCGCTTTGTAGTTTGAATTGTGGTTGCCAGGCGTATACGGCTTCGCCTTGTGCTTCCAACTTTCCATTGATCCAACTGAGGAATTAGGTTCCGACAAAAGTGCAATACTGGAAGTATCAGACAACGGCGATCGTGGTGAGCTCATGGTGGAATATTTGGGTTCCGCCATGATCGGCATTTCCTTCTCCTTCCGTTTCGATCTTCTGTCTTGAGACCTCGGGGACTTCATCGACCCATGTCTTGAACCGGAACGACCGGAGCGGTTAGACCGTCTTTGGGGAGTTGAAGTCGGAGCCACATAATAGTCATTATGCGGGGACGCAGGGGCCAGCGCTGGTCCCCTGAACCCCGATGACTGCATCGTCGCTAGGCGTGTAGTACGGCGACCTGAAGTGTTGGATCTGCACGCTTCTTCTTGCAACTTCTTCATACGCTTATTGGTCATGTGCCACCAAAGTAACACACCCACGCAGGCGATCACCACTACAAAACTGGCAATCACAATGTACATCCACCAGAGCCAGAAAAAGCACCCACTGCCCCACGGCAGGAATGTTGTCCACGAGCTCTTCTTCTTCAGAGTGCTTGAAAAGCACGAGCACCAGTCTGTCGAGTCTTCAGACGTGTACACTTTCTTGCTGGACGTGACGTTGTTCGGGCAGTTGTTTGCTACAGCGAGACCAATCTTGCCTTCTACGCGATCGTGGTACGAGTACAAGCCGTCCATGAAGACGTCACCCAGGACAGTTGAGGTGCCTTCAGAGATGCCGATTGCACGGCACGCCATACTGGAATTGTCCCCATTCATTTCGGGTCGCCAGTAGTACTCGGGTGGGATTTCAACGGTGAAGTGTTTACTTGTTGAGCCATCGCTGGTCTCCATCCCAAGTGTGAAGTAAATAGAGGGAAGTTGCAACAGGGCAGCGCTGGACGATGTCGGGTCACAATAATCCTCGTCGCAGCATGAAGCCGAGTCGTCAAAGTAACTGGCATCGAAGTCTGGAATGGCCTCTAGCGTTGCTGTCTTAATTTGATCCATGAGCGCGTTGTAAACATCAGAAGGAAACGCCAAATTGCTTGTGCCGGAGTCAACGATCGCCTGCGGTTCGTTGTAGTTTTCGCATGAAAACCCAAGGCTAGCGCCGTTATAGCCAATGTCCGTCACTGTCACGACATACCACGCTTCCTGAACGTTTGGGGTAAAAGATAACAGCAATTTGTCAGTCTACTGTGATCAAAGCAGCAACAAGTCAATCCGTAGCAGCCGTACCCTGGTAATTGGAGTGTAAAGCATATCACCCGAATAGTACGTCTCGCCATCGATGCCTTCCGTGCCGCCAATTAACAACTGACCGGAATGGTGCGTAAAATCCGTTCCTCCTGTCTGTAGCATGGGCTGCATTGTGCCACATAACAGCATACCGAACGCGTCGGTCGATTTTGCCGTGTTCACCAACACATTATACAGCGACGATACAGTATCACCGGTCGACGCCGCCAGCGCCTCATATGCCAAGCCAGTTATTCCATCGTATGTCGAGCGATAAAAGGTATCCTGTTTCTCAATGACCAAGAAGGTTTTGGAGATATCACCGATCTCAGCCGACGACCACGTATCCGTCATAAGCTGCCCCCTACCATGCATCAATAACGCACGTTAGCAACGTTACTTCACATTTTTTTACCAAACTACATTCTCGTACTGAATATTGGCTCCCGCGAACGCCAGGGTGACAACGTCGCCACCAGCATTCGTGCAAGTCGATGATGCATCGCACGAGTAGGTCACCTCTGCCTCCGAGCCGCAGCATCCAGTGCCCAGCACGGCGTCATTCGACGACCCCGTGTCTGCAATCAGTCGGAAGGCGTTCTACTCACAGGAATGCGTAACTCATCTGCAGCATCGATCATCCAGTCAAGTAATATCACTACGCACATTCCCACTTGAAGAACCAGAGCCGTCCACCGTGCCGATGTCTACCGTGAGTGTGTACGCTGCAACATCGCAAACAACAATCATGAAAACCTCGATCCTTTACGTCACGTGGTCAGCAATTGCCGCACCTGTGCCCGAGGCAATACCCGTCAGGTCGAGAGAGTAATGTGCACTGGCAGCTTGTGTCTCTCGTCCAAGCAGCAGCAACGCAAGACAGCGGAGCAGCGAGTTCCGCCGTCTCGGTGTCATGCCGGACAAGGAATTCAGTCAGCGTTACACACTGTCTTTTTTTTTAGTCGTGTGGACCACTTCACAGTCTCTTCAGCGCGAAATGTCAAGTTTCACATTACCATTTGAATTTTTGGCGCGAAATGTCGTCGATGGGCCGGAGCGCGTCGGCGCCGCTGCACACGCGCAGTCGCAGTCGCTACAGCTCCGTCCTGGAGAGCGCATTGGTTGGTTTAGGTCGAGAAGATGCCGTGGTGCGGTCCACGCGTAAGCCGCGCAAGAAACGGCGCTACGACGCCGACCTGAGCCTCATCCGAGGGCTGTCAAAGGCTATGAGCGCTCCCGAGCAGCGTTCACAGGCCGCAGAGGAGGAAGAAGACCCGTTCGCACATCTGAAGCTGCTGAAATCGCAGAAAAAGGGCAAAAAGCGACGAAAAGAGAGAAAGAAGAGCGAGGAGAAGCCATCATCTCCTGCTGTGACCAGGAGCGCTTCCAAACGGCTTAAGCGACGCCAGGCAGGCGTGCTGGAGACGGCTGGACATACACCTGTAACGAGATCTATAGCGATGAAGAGAGCGAAACGAAGCAGCTTGGAGACGATCGAGGATGTTGACGTGGAACCGGAAGAAGAAGACGTGGTGATCAGGAAGAAACTATTGTTCTCACCAGAGCTCAAGAAGAAGAAAGTAAAGGAAGAGAAGAAGAGAAAACGACAAGTAGATCGCAAGGTGAAGAACGAGAAGAAACGAGAGAATGCAGACAGGAAGGCGGTCGTGCTGAAGAACTGGCGGGTCGTCTGGCCGCCGATGCTGGAGGCTGAGAGTGAGAAGGCGGAGATGATAGTGATGGGACAGGTGGACGGAGAGTCGACACTGTTTGTCGTGGAGAAACGTGAAGGGAAAGCGTCCAAGTTCACGGCCAAAGACGGCACGTTCGTGACGTTGAGTGGGACATTGGACCGGGACACTGCTAGGAGCGCTGGCATTCCACGCGCTGCGATGCGACTGATGGAGGATGGGGTTCCGGCCTACTTCTGCAAGCGATTGCTGCCGTTTGTGCGGAAGGCGCAGAAAACAGATCAACGCAAGTCGAAGGTCGTGCGTAAATCGGTGAAGAAGAAGGTGAAAGGCACTGACAAGCACAGGTACGAAAGATAGAGATGTGTTGAGTACTGTAGAGACGTGTGTTGCTGACAAGAAGAGGGTGGGTGAAATACATTCTTGTGTTTAGTTCGACGATGCCGCCGAGTGACGACGCTGCTCTCAGCCCTGAAGAATCCGTCGCATCTCCTCCTATTCAAGAAGATGATCTGTACGAGACACCAAAGCGCAAAAAGGTGCGTAGCAGATATGATATATTGCTTTTAATCAGCCCGCATTGATGTTATTATCTGCAGCAGGTTTGCAACGAGAAGACAAAGACAAATCAACCAGAACCTGAAGTAGAGCCCGATGTCTGGACGAATGAGCAGTTGGAAGCTTTGATGGATGCCAAGCTGCAGATTCCAACAACTGCCTCGAACTTTTGGGCACAGGTACGGCCTCCGTTAGCTCAATATCTGTGACGAGATGTATTCTGACGGATAATCTGCAGGTGGCTCAATATGTTCCGGGAAAGTCGGCGCAAGATTGCCAAGCAAAAACGTTCGAGAAGTTCAGATCTCCTCCTACGAAGCGGAAAGCAGCGAAGATGCCACTCAAGCGAGCAAATGCAGACACTAACTCTGCTATACCGACCAAAATCGCTCGTGCAGGCTCAAACAAGTTCAAGAAGCAAGTGCGCGAGTTCGTGGAAGAAGTAAGCTCAAGTCACTGTATAAGTGGGTGGTTTTATCGATACTAAACGTTTTGTGCCGTGTGTTTAACAGTACGAAAAGAAGCACGTGGATGATCTATTCGATACAACCCCATCCAAGGAAGGTTTGCCTGAGCTACCGGACTTTGATGCGATCAAGTCGCCGGAGCTCGATACGCCGTCACGAAGCCTCGCGGACGATGACTCAGACATCGACGATGAGGCGCCTGGGCTACTAAAAAAATTGAGTTCGCGTCGGCGAGACGACATCGATTCGTACGTGCTGGGCATCAATCGCCAGCACGTTGCAGGTGGTGGAGTAATGGTTCGTGGCAAGGTGCGCCGCGTGGCTTCAATGGCTACCCCGGTGAAAGCGACGACAGCGAAGGCTCGTTCGGCCAAGGTATGTAAGGAAATGGCTGTATGTTGTTACGACATCGCATCTAACTTGTCCTGTTATTTACAGAAGAAAGCCGTGATGCTTGTGGAAGATGTGGGCTCGCATTGTGTGAGGGGAGTTGTGAGTCCGGGAGGGACGACGCATGTTCGTATCGAGAAGGACGGCAGTTCGGACGATGAAGATGAAGACGACTATCACAGCAGTGAAGAGGAGGAGGATTTCGATATCCTTTGAGCTGAGACGCAAAGCGAGTGCGTATATTTATTGAAAGGCTGCCATCCTGCAGTCTCCATTTTGTATCCGTGATGTCGATACAATCCGCGAGAAATAAATACGTCAGTGCAAAATCTAATGGGGGTGAAGTCTACTCCTGGACAAGCATCAGAACGCGCCGCAGAATTGTCCGCTATGTCCGTCGAGGAGCCTTCGACTGGCGTACCAGAAGTTTGCGCGTCCAGCACTTGCTTCAAGCCTCGCAGCGTCGTCGGCCTTGATAACAACAATGCACGCGCCTTCTGATTGTCGTACACGAGCGCCCAGAGAGCTACGGACACGTATCCCAGAGAGATCGAGTCCTCGTGTGCCGAGTCACTCACACGTACACAGAAAGCTACCATTTCATCCAGCAGCTCTTCCCAAATGGCGAAATGGTTCTTGGTGGCTTGTGAGAGACAAAGATTCCTCAAGAACAAGCACCCGCTGCGTCGAATTGTCTTACTGGGCAGATGCGTCACATCGTCGATTACGAGAGAGAGCACAGTGGCCAAGCTGGTGTATAGCACGCGAGCACCTTTCTCGGTACTAGCGATGCTGCTGAGGACGCTCAGCATGTGCGCAAGATTCTCGTTCTCCCGGTGATCCATTTTGCTGGTTTGTCTGGCCTGCTGAAGACGATCTTGGAGCGAAGTAACCAGCTTAGACATCGACCCTGTCTTCACGCAACCTTGCACGCATTCAGGGTGGAGTAGAGCTGCCTTCAGCACTTGGCAGGCAGCGTTGCTTAAGGCCATGTCTGCGTCGGTACTATCGTTCGAAACACGATTTTGGGAAGACGTCACGTCACCTCGGGTACTGGCCAGGTCGAACAACAAGGACAGAAGAGTGTGGGCATTGTCCCCTCTTCCAGGCAGCGAGATCAGCATCGAAGTTCGAGCACTGTCGTTTCCGTAGATATAATTCACCAAGAGGTGAAGCGCACGTAGCATCAACAGAGACCCACGCACATGAGCCGTCTTCATCAGGCTCCAATTCGACAGAACTGCGTTAAGAAGACCCTCGTCCTTAAGACAAGAAAGCAACACGGTTAGACGGGGTATTGATACGATGGAGCATTTCCGCGTACCTTTGTCAGCTGCTGGCTTTCCTTGTCGCCTCCAATGATGGAACTCACAACTTCCATGTGTGTCTGGATGCGTCCGCAGAGGTCAAGCACATAGGTGTCCTGCGTCTTGGAGCTGGGGTTCGAACTTCGCACTCGCTTACCACCGAAGCCGCCAGCTATGCGAATCGCAGTGAATGATTCTTTAATGGAAGCCATTGCAAAGGGTACACCACGCTTAACGCGAACGAGAGGTTGGAGACTTGGACTTGTCTCGAGCAGCACTTGAAGGGAACATGAAACACGTCGCACCGATGCTAACGGGAACACCCGACCTTGTAAATTAGACGTGGCAGTACTCGCATTTAGAGGCCTGAACTCTGCTACCTCTTGATAAAGGTCGAACACGACGGAGCACAACGCAGTGATGACAGAAGCATCAGAAGACTTGAGAGATCCAGGTATCAGCAATGACATCTAAGCACACGCAGTTTAGGCAGTAAATATGAAGTGAGTATGCAGATGGATAAGTTTTTGTAAGCCTGATGGGGACTTACCGCTGGAACAATTCTAATGAATGACACACGGAAATCAATGGGGTGCTCAGGTGCTAGCAGCTTTGCCACCGTATCGACGAAATCCGCCCCAAAGCCTGGTGTTTTCGGTGCTCCGAACTGTTCTGCGTTGTACTCGCTCTGCTGGTCACAAGCTTGCATCAACAGGATGCTGAGTGTGCCAGCACAGAGGTCGAGAACTTCGTAATGCCTACGTCTTGTGGCTACCGATAACGTGCCGTTTAACGACGCATGGAGGTCCCGTACGAGTTCCATCAGCTGATACTGCAAAGTTGTATGCTACACAGCACGAGGACAAAATGTCAGTCGTGTGCAGCACTTCGTAGTGATATTACTTAAAGCAAATACCATCAGGAAGAATGCCACTTGATCGAAACCACCGTCACGACAAACAGCCTGGAGAAGATTCAGCACTTCAGCCATCAGGTCTAAGATGGCAGGAAGCAGCGAACATCTCCATGCATGGTCGTCGCAGGATGGTAAATGCATACAACAGGAGCTGAAATGATCGACCTTTTGCTTCCATTCTCGGAGGGATAGCACCTATACAGAAGCGATGTATTAGTGCGTCAGTAGGTAGCCGAGTCAAGTCGTAGTGTGGGAAGATCGTACTTGAATGAGGAGCGGGTAGATGTCATCCTTCTCTTCAGCAGTCTGCAACTCCTTCTGCATGTCTCCAAAATGTGACGCCAAACAATCCCTCTGCATGTAGAGTACTCGAACCAGTCGCGCAAACGCGCTAGAAGTGCGAGCGAGCAGCTTGTTGCCTTTCAAGCCGTCAGACAGTGACCGCAGCACTTTGCCAGCAAATGTGGTTCCGTGGCACATCTCTGTCAGGGCAGCTTGTCGATCTGGGGCACGTTCATGGTACCGAAGAATCTCTTGAGTCAGAGCAGTACAAGCTGCCGCACGCACAGCATCGGACTCGGTGTCATCTGTTGACGTTTCGAGCGCCATCTCCAGCAATCGTGATGACGAAGGACTCCAGGAAGTAGCCAGCTCAGCAACACGAAAGCCAAGCTCGCGGATCGGGGCTACGTGGTCGAAGAGAAAACGAGACGCCCAGCTACCGTCGAGAAGGATACTGCTGTCAGTATGTTGCAGCGGACTGTCGCTAGATACAAGAGACCCTCGTGGAAGCGTTTGTAGGATGGCCACCATGCATTGAGATCCAACAGAGAAGACGTCCCGCTCCAGGAAGGAACCTGGGACACGGTGACGACATACGACCGTAAGCAACGACGACAACATCTCCAGAAGGCGCTTGCAGATCTTGTCACGCGAGGGCTCAGGCAAGCGAGGGCTTGCATTCTTGTCCATGCCTTGGGCGAATCGTAACAGAACCTCCAGCATCAAACCATGAAGAACAGGCTCTGTTGCGTAGATTGCTGAGTACTTGGTGCAGATCGCTGAGATGATGTCAGTATCAGCAGCTAGGGACAAGAACAAATCGCTAACTTTGGACTCGCTAACGTTGAGCAACAGCCGCGCAACTTGCAGAGAGAAAGCCTTGCTTTGTGATCTTTTCAGCAGCGGGAGAACTCTGCGCTTCACTACAACAAGCGCCCGCAATTGTTCTCCTCTGGTCATGGCACCGAACATCACACTTAGAGTGCTTACAAGCGCGCCAACTATTACTTCGTCTCGTTCGTTTTTCGGTGGTACAGCGAAATACCGTTCGAAATCTCCTTCCCATTCCCCAATGAAGCGCTCGCGAGCAAAGCGCCAAGCGTTGCAAATCGTCATCACATGATAGACTGCATTCAGGCACTTCCCGTGCGACGGCGCATCTCGGAGTTTCTGGGTGGCAAGTGCATACTCTGCCTTCAATAATGAGTCGAATCCGCCACTATTCTCCCCGTCGAGCTTCGCTGTGTCTCTGTCAAAATTAATGATCGATTGCTTCACTTCTTGCAGCCACAACGTATCGGTGCGTCGAGCCAAGAGTTCAGCAGTTGCTTGTAGCTGCTGTGTCAGCGAACAGGTAGCAATAAAGCACCGTGCCCACCGACTGGAGTACAGGCCGAATGTCGACTTGATCATCTCGGGAATCCTCGCGTCTTCGCTGAGTGTGGTCTTGTCAATGTTCAAAGAATCGACTGGTGCTCCATTGGGAATAAAATTTTCAGCTGAGCATGTCATCAGGAGAATGATGTAGTACATCTGCGCTCGAATAGTAGGCGACGGATGGAAAATCAACGGCATGAGACGTCCCATCGTGCTGTCATCATGTTGTATGGCAGAACGTAACAGCCGACTTCGGAGCAATAGCATTCTAAACAGAAGAAGGGCTTGCAGAATCATCGACGAGTCTTCTCGACCAGCCTCCTTGTCGAAAATTGCACGAAGAAGATCCACAATATCCGAAAACTTGTCCAGCTCTTCAAATAGAGTGAACATCTCCACTGACGCGTTTTCAATGAACACGACCAACTCTTTAAGTGCCGCTTCTTTCATGCTCTCAAAGCCAGACGACGATCCAGAGATCACTTTGTACAAGTGAGATAACTTACTCAGCTGTGAGGATAACTCGTTCTCACTTGGCTGATAGTCACTTGCACGACTAACAGGCAGAGGAGTCTCCATGAGCGTTGCTTCGAGATTCACATTCTTGCCACCGTAGTCAAATCGACCTCCGAATGGGTCATCAAGTATGTCTTTGTGCTTCGAAATCCAGTCAACACACGACGGATGAACTCGAGACAGCAACCGGAGAACCCCAGAAGCTGCAGCCTTGCGGATGTATGACGACTCGTGTAGCAAACACCGACACATTAAGAGATGTCTTGCGTGGTCTGGGACGGTCGTTTCCACTCGGTTCAAGACTTGTGCTAGTTGTGGCTGGGTAGAACGTTGCTCTGGTGAAGATCCCTCCGACGGTTCGATGTATGCAAAGTGTTGGAGCAGTGGGATCACCGGCTGGAGACGCGCCAGTTTGTCGCTGGAAACGCCTGCTAGTTGGTTCAAAGCTGCAAGTAAAATGACCCACAAGGCCGAGCTGTTCACTTGATCGCCAGTTTCTTGTCTTGCTAAGACCAGCAACAAGAGCGTAAGGAACCTTGGTTCACACAAAACCTCCGTAAAGAATCCATATCGGCGATCGGCAGATACGCGCTTTGTCTCCATGCTTAGGTTTTCAATGAGACCCACTAGACCACGGAAAAAGTAAAATACCATCGAGTCGTGCGACGTAGGCGCTTTCTCTTCGTCCACACTACTCAGCAGCTCACAAAATATGAAGTGAATGGTTTCAATTTCCCTTTCTGACAGACTCCCAGTGCCATTTTCAGTGTCAGGAGTCAGAGCTGACCAAATTGCCTGAAGTGTGGCGTCTGCAATGACCTCAGAGTCCAGCTCATCAAAGGCATATCTGACTCGAATAGTCTTTAGAGCAGCTTCCACATTCACAATAACTGGTGTTTCCCATGGACCAAAATCTACTAATTGGTGACGGTGAGCCTTGGCTACCTCCACAAAGTCAAGAATTAGTTTCGCATCTTGTGTGGAGGACTGCTTTAGCGTAACGAAGGCAGGGATAGTGGGGTCAATTGCTGCCAGATCTAGTATGAGCGATTCATCCTTCCACTCTTGAGCAGCCACTTTAGGGAGCAACGGATTGGCAATCCACAGCTTCACTGCTTCCCACAAGAGTCTAGGAACGACAATTCCACCGCTTCTATCAGTCTTTGAACAAGCCTCATTACTTTCAACTCTGTCGGAAGCTTTCTCCACGTGATATCGAGACGACGGATACACTCGAAGTAACCGAAGCACAAGCTCCACTAGTTTCCATGTCATAGAATGCGTGAGCTCAAGCTCGTTGTCCACCATTGCAATTCCTGCTTGCTCCGACGCTACAGGTCTGCAGATCCCACTAAGGATGTCTAAAATCTGCTCAAGCCGCTCTTTATCCAGTTCCTGGACGCCTGTATCTGCAATACCCGCACAGCCTTTCTCAGGTAAGTCAGGAAGTGTCGATATTAGGAGATTTAGCAAGTGTAATCGTGGGTGTCTCGCGGACCGCATCAAGGGTAAAACACTTGTGAATATCCTGTACATGACTCCACTCAGCGAATACTGCTCCTGCTGATCATTCCTCTCGCCCCTTAGTCTACCCACGTGATCCTCAACCTCCACACTCGCACGCGGATAGAGCACTCGTCGTGTGTCGTACGAGTCGAACAACTCCACATGCACATTAGGGGCGTGCACAACGTACGTCGGATCAAGACACATCCTTTGTGAGAGCTTTAACGCATACAAAAACGACTCGATCGCTTTGACGCTCGCCATCACCACCGCACCAGATAAATTCCCACGTTTGTTCGAAAACGTCTCGTTCAGCATGTCGTCAAAGTAGTTGACGCCCAAAGACACCTCCATCGCTCGCTCCATCAAGACGTCATCATCCACACTCGCTACGCTCGATGTTCCCGGACTTTCGGGCAGAAGTGGCTGCTGCACTAGATGCAATAAATACTGTAGCACTGTCGGTCTCTGCAAGAAAACCTCCGCCGGGAAATCCCGCAGCAATTCGTTTCTAAACGTCGCACACGCTGCCACGATGTCCCGCGTCTCGGTCCTCAGCTGAAGCTTCACCTCGAACTCAAACAAATACTGATCGTCCACTGACGTCAGTGTTACCTGCGCAAACTTCCATCCTTGAGCTTCTAGAACGTCGACTTTAGGAGCATGTCGTCGATCTGGCAGCACTCTATTGGCGTTAAACTGCTCCACCTCTGTCTTTTCCTCTTCCGACGAAGTGATGACCGGGGATGCTTTGTTCTCTCCCTCTACCGGCACGAATTTGGTAACGTAAATCTGTCGCAGGAGCTGCACACAGCGGCACAGAAATGCACATAATTGTCAGTCTTCGATTAAGGGTTTGGCAAACACGACTATTGACCTTCTCGTAGCTGGTTTGCAGCTCTAGATTCTTGTTGGCAGCTTGCTGGAGCTTCTGAGCTGCACCGAAGTGCTGCAGACTGGCCAGAATCACCTCCGACTGGCTTTGCACCAGTAGCTCTAGTACGTGCAGAGTGTCAAGCTCTAGAGGTGGCTCGAGACAAGCCAGGAGACTCGGGATCAGCGAGCTCTGTAGCGGTTCTAGCTCCTGCCAGCGCACCAAACGCTCCCGCAGTTTGAAAAGCAAATTGTGCAGTGCCCGGGACCGTATCTTGGTCAAAGGGTGGTGCAACCTGAACACCAGCGTGTCCAGCCGCCCCGCGACGTCGCTACCCATGAATACTGTTGAAAATGGAGAACCGGTAAACTGCAGACGTGCAGTTTTTTTTTTAAAAATTGTTACATTGTGTAACTTACATACCGGTACTGTATTTTTTTTCTTTACTGAAAATACAGTGAGCCGAAGAACGGTTTCCGGGAGAGTCGCGTTAAAGGTTTATCAATACCGCCGCTGCAATCGCCTTTTGTACCAGAGTTCTACATCCAGTAGCCCGCGCAACATGGCCACCCGCCGGTCGGACGCCTCCGCAGCATCTCGAGCTCCTCGGATCCGTGTGACTCGCGCATTCTCGCAGATCGAGGAGCCATCCACGCTACAGCAACTGCATGAGCTGCTAGCGCCCACATCGAAGAAAACTCTCGATGTGCGGAGACTTGTGTCGCCTGCGCGCTCTCGTGGGGCCACCGACGCCACACCGCCCGTCCCGCCCACGTCTCCGGCCTCATTGCCACGTTCATCTCCTGTGCTCAGAAGACAAGCCACAGGCAGCAGCGACGGCAGCAGCGTCACAAACAGCCCGCAACCTGCAGCATGGGGGCGACTGGGGCTTCCTCCACGCAACGCTAGTTCTGGCAGAGACGAAACTTCGGAACGCCGCCGCAAATTTAGTATAGGACGCGTAGAGGACGCCACGGTGGCGCTGCGTCGTAACGAAAGCACAGAAACAGCTACAGGAGCCGTGCCTCGACGCGGATCGAGCGAGTGGGCGGAGACAGCGGCGAGATTGAGTAGAAGGGTACAGGAACTCGAGCGCGAGAACTTCAGGTTGAAGAACGGCAAGGAACCACCCAAGTCTTTCGCCGGTGGAGAGATGCACGCATTACGAACAGCGGAGTCCGATTTGGCTAGTGCAGCATCAATGACTGGCAAGCAGCCACGACAGAGTCTAAACAAGTCGCGAAGCTGTGCGAATGGCTTCGGATTCACTGGTCTAACCGTGGCCGAGGCAGCCGCTGCCTCTCATCGCACACGTATAAGACGCTTGGCCTCCGTTGCGAGCGCCACTGAAGCGGCCGTGAAGCTGCGCTCGGGCTACTGGAATGGAGCGAACAACGTCAAGAGTAGTTTTAGCTGCAACAACCTGGCAGATCTGGAGCAGCCTGAGTTTATGCTTGAGAAACTACGCACGTTCCCCTCCGCTACCGTTGCAGCATCCACTATCGCTAACGGTGGGAACAAGATCGGAACAACAGCTTCAACTGTTGTAGCGACGCCAAGTACGCATGAGACCTCGCGCAAGAGCGACTCGTTCCAGCGCTCCAGCTCCGAGACCGAAGAGGATCTCGCTAGCATGAGGTCGCAGCATTTCGCACTTAAGAACGCGCGGAAATCCTTCTCCGTCGTGGCTCAGCAGAACTCGTCGTCTGTGGATTTGAATCTTGACGGCGAGCCAGAGACGCGAATCACGTCACCGCGCTCATACTTTGAGGCAGGACTGCGCACAGGGAGCTTATCTATTGGACCAACAGCATCGCCGGCTTTAAAGACGACGAAGCGAACGAGTATACGTGACGTGCGCATGTGGGTGGGCACGTGGAACATGGGCGCAGCAGACCCGTTCGATGACGGCAAAGGTATCATTGACGAACAGCGCTCAGCCACAATGCTGCAGAACTTCCTGCCACACGGCTACCAACTGTATGTGCTTGGAGTACAGGAAGGTGTATCGGAGAATGTCTATCACGCAGTGGAGGCGTATCTTAACCGCAATGAGCGAGGAGCCCGCTACTATCGTATGGAGATGAGGAACAGCGACTTTATGGTGAATCACAAGAATTATCCTCCCGATGCAGTGATTGATGCTGTACACGGTCGAGGCGATGGAGCGTTTGTAGGCACTAAATTCACGGGGATGGCTGTGTTTTATTGCGCGGATATCCAGGATAAAGTCAAGTTGATTCGAGCTGGTGCACACAAGTTTAAGCTCACGAGTGGATCCAAGGGCGGAGTCGCTGTGGCTCTCATGGTCAATCACACGACTATTGTGTTCGTGAACTGCCATTTGGATGCGAGAAACGACACGTACCGTCGTGAGCAGATCAGGAACCTGAACGCTAGTCTCGGACGTGTGATGGGTCACTACAGCTTTGATCTGACGGAGCAGTTCCATCACGTGGTGTGGATGGGGGACATGAACTACCGTATCGTGTTACTGGACCCTCAAATGGTGCTGCACATGCTCGAAGAAGGTCGCAATCTCGAGCTACACGACAAGTTCGATGGGCTACTGAATGACCGTCGCAATGGAGGAGTCTTTGAAGGGTTCACAGAGCCGCACAAGTTCCCGGACTTCTATCCGACTTATAAAAAGTTTCCCAAGCGTGGACCAGTGAATGAGACGCTGCCATTGTGGCCATCTCTCGTGTGGCGTGTGCTGTACAAGGAACCGTTTTATAAAGGAGGCAAGGTGAAGAAGCGAGTACCTGGATGGTGCGATCGCATCTTGATCCACTCACTGTTAGTCAGTGACTCGAAACTGATTCCGGAAAAGGTTCCGGACCCGACGTCCCAAGAGCGACTTATTGACAATTATCGTTCTGTGAACCATGGCGACGGGATGGACGTTAGTGACCACAGTCCTGTGTACGGCACGTTTGTACTTAGTTTCCCGCAGCAGAACAGCGACGTGTTAAGCTCGGGATCTCCACGAAGAATGTCACGTCGCAATTCCCGATCCTTTTCCACTCCCAGTGGGATTAACGACGGGGACAAATATTCAAGTGCTGTGAGTGGCAGCTACTTCGACCAGGCTCGCGTGGTACGACAAATGAAGGCGCAGAACCGCTCCGTGTCGACGGTATTGAGGGTCTTCAATATGGTTCTGGTGTGGGGCGATTCCAACACGGTCGTTCCGAAGAAGACGCGTATTGTGGCGCCGTTAGTTGGAGAGGATTCCAAGCAGTGTGACGTCATTGGGGAGCGATGCCAAGGCTCCAACGGACTGAATTTGTCGCTCAACGCAGTGATTCAACACGCGCGGCCACTGGAGCAGCTTCACATGCTGCTCTGGGTGAAGAACGAGTCCGTCAATGGCCACTGCACACTGTCGCTGAAACGTGTGGCTCGCCAAGAAGAGGGAGGCGAGGTCAAGTACCGCGTACCGCTTTACAATGACTCGATGCGGGTGCATCTCGACGGACACCCGTTACTTGTAGTTTTCTCCGTGCGAAGTAAAACATTCGCCAAGTGAGAGCACGCACGTTCCACGTGCGTCCGAATCTGCTGACCTCTTACCCGATCGAAGTGAAAGAGAGGAGATAATTTCTGAACAATTTCAACATGTCGTGAGTTTCAACTGTAGTTTTCTTGAGTCGGAACAGGAAGAGTCGGTCCCGACTCGTCGTCGAGATCTTATAAGAGCACTATAGACAGACGAACGCTAGCGATGGATTCCGACAACGATCCAGCAACTAATGAGTCTGACAAGACACCATGGAGTCCGTTTGAGCATCTCCCGGATGCACTTCCAGTCCTGCGTGACTATGAGATTCGACAGAAGCTGCTTCAGTGGAATCTGAGCGACGCGCTTCATTTGCAGCGCTTTCTTGTCCATCGACGCTTGCCGAGTGAAGCGGATGAAGCTCTGCTGGCGGAATTTTTTCAGGATCATACAGTGCATCAAATTCTACCGGTAAGTGGCAAGCTGTCATCTATACCTATACTTTCTTTTGTTGCAAACGTATTCAATGGTCTGAAGGGGTTAAAGCTTCCTGAACATGTCAATAGCAACGCCGAGTCGTCCTCCAAGGCCTTCTCGCTCCACTTCGAGCGCTTACGCGTCAGTGTAACGAGCTTGGCATTCTTCGAGAAGCTCGAATCAGCAGGCATCGTGGCCCGTGACGGCAGTGTACGCGGCTGCATCGATGAAGACTTTGACGGTTGCACAGCTGGAGATCTGCTCACCGAAATGTTGGTGAACCCTGACTCGGACAACTGCGATGTGTTCTCCGAACAAGACAAGCAGGAATTCATATTCCTTCTCTTCTCTACACTCATTATTGGAGGTGGAGCGTTGCGCCAAGCGGATTCACGCGTCCAAGCCTATGAAAACGTAACTCGCGAACTGTACCGTGCTCTTGTATCTGTCAAGAAGAGCATCGCCGATGCCAACGGGAAGCGAGACATCGAGATCACGTCACGCGTATACCGCGTGAGTGGCGACGCTCTTTTCCATGCTTCTCTGTCGCGGTTTCACTCCTGCTTCGCCATCGTAGACGCTCGCAAGCGTTGGCTCACAGTCTGGTATTGCCCCTTTCGAGCATCGTGGTAGTCGACCACCGAAATGCGGTACAGTAACACTAACGCGCAGCGAAATGGCTACATCTCAAAAATCACTAATTCCATTGGTTGAAATCCTGTCATTATTCTTCGCCACTCAGTATTGACGTCATGGAGCGCGTACCGATCCGTCTTGGCACCGTCCGGGCGACAGTGAAGTCCTCCATCAATGTTTTAGCCAATTCACTGCTCTCTGAAGGTCCTTTAGCGACTAATGCGTCGCTAGCTCGAGTGTGTCGCGTGTGCACAACTCAGGAGGCAAGATACACGTGTCCGCGTTGCAACACTCCATACTGCAGTGTGGACTGCTATCGCTCCCATGGCGAGGGGTGCACGGAGCAGTTCTTCGAGAATCATGTGCGTAGCGAGATGCAGCTGGCTTCTAACGCAAGAGGAGGCGACGACAAAAAGCAACAGAAGAGCATACAAGAGCTTCTGGAACGAGTCCGGGAATTTCAGGAAGAGCAACACCAGCTGGCTGACGGAGAAGAGGACGAGGAAGCGCTGGTGCAGAGGATGCAGGACCTTGCGATGCTGGAAAAGGCGGGACAGCTGACACTCGAGAGCTTAACACCTGAAGAGAGGCGGAAGTTCTTGGGAGAAGTGGCAGATGGACGACTGGGCAAGCTCGTGGAGCTCTGGACACCGTGGTGGTTTATGAGTGAACGCAAGTACCGGAGTGAGACGTCGGCAAAACGTCGTCAGTTGATCCTGGAGGAGATTAGTGACGACACCGCTGACAATGAGAACGAGAGCGAGGCGCCTTCAGCTGTGGCTGTGGAGTCTTCGGTTTTGTATCCCATCGGGGTCTTTACAAACAATGATGCGCAGAAGATGCCTAAGAGTATGAGCGCTCTGCTACCTGGTGGGAGACAGCCGTCGCCGTGTCTGCGCTACCATTTAGTTGAAATTCTGTTCGCGTATGCCCTGGTGCTTCGAGCTTTCAACGGAGACTACGCGCAAGATTCTACAGAGGCAGCATTTATGTTACTAGACCTCTGTCGAGTCCTTAGCGACGACGCGCGCTACGATTCCCTAGAACACGTGTGCTTGTCTTGTCTTGAGAAGCATTCCAACGTAAGTGAGGGCTCAGCTGCGAGTGCGCTAGCTATCCAAGATGTGCAGCAGATTCTTCGCATCGACGTGTTTCTACTTGATGCTCTCAGCGACACACGTGCATTATTCGAGCGGTATCAACGCGATCTGGAGCGTAGCAGAGAGTCCGACAAACGAGCCAAAAGGAAGAGGAAGACAGCTCTGAAGACACTCGCAGCCATACAGAAGAAACTAACCTTCTACCAGACTTGGACTTACCTCACGCCGATCGAGGAATTCCAGGCACTGGCAGCCGAAATCGAAGCGTACACAAAAGACAAGGAACTCGTCGGTACTTAAGGATAAAGAATACTATAAAACTTTATGTATTTCTTCATGTTTTGATTTGCGTTTTTGCCCCATACGTTGTAAGCACAGCACAAGCTCTCAGGCTCGTTTGTTCAAGTTTCCATTCACTGCACAATGCGTTCGTCTGTAGCCATTCCAGTGGCCACTGCGATAGTACTATTTCCTGTCGTATTTGCTGCCATAGACAGAATTTTGTCGCCCTCATTTGATGTCTGGGGCTGGGTGGTTTGTGCTGGTCTCTTGAAGGACTAGCAACTTTTGTCTCGCGAAGCTCAAGCTGCGGTGGTAGGGGACGACGTTTGCAATGCTTGGAGTGCCGTACTCCATTTATTGAACTCTCGTGTCGACGTCGCCGTTAGGATGAGTTTCTTGCCAGCTTGGCTGAACTCGGGCGTGGTGATGATGAACGTGAGGTTACGCGGGTCCGAGATATCAATTTTAGCGTCTTCAAGCGAGATGGTGCTGCTCTTAGCGCCGACCTGGTGCACCATACTCTCCTTCTTGTAGCCCGTGAGGCGGTTGCCACGCAGCACGAAATATCGCTTCTTGGAGACGAGGAAGCGTCTGCTACTGGCCACCTTGAGGATTCCTTGCGTGCACGTGTAAGGCAGAATAGCACGCACCCAAATGACGGGTCCGATGAAGTTGTCGATCAGCACATAGTCCGTCTTGCTCGTCGAGATCGTGAGCTCCTGATACTTGGAGCGCGAGCTCACAGTCACGATCTGCGAGCACATGATCTCGTCTTCTAATAAGTTAGTGTCCTTATTGACAAAGAGAAGACGTTCGTGGTCTGTGAGCAGCAGGTGGAAGCGTTTCTTGCGCTTAAGCGACACGGGACCAGCCAGTAAAATGCTCTCCCGAGTCTTGAGTAGACTGTCCCACAGTCGCATGAACGGAGACCGCACAATCGCCACGATAGCGTTGTTATTCTTCCGCTTCACAGCACTACACACGTCTTGCCGCATAGAGAGCACCATATCTTTCAGCATTTCCACTTCTTTCTGGTTCAACACGCCGTCATTGCCCAGACCTTCGCAGAACTCGAGCATCTCCTCCACCATCATGTTCTCGCCTTCCATACCGCTCATCATAGAGGACCCAGAGCCACGACGCGAGCCGAAACCGTCCACGTTACTAGGGCGAGGCGATGGGGCTACTGTAGACGCGAACGAGAAACGGTTGGTCATGACAGCTGTGGATCTACCGGGAGTAGGGGGCATCATCTTGGAACGCGCGAAAACTACCACCATGGGGCGTGTACTACGACTCAGTAAGCTGATTGCGCGGTTGTACTCGAGTCCGTTGATTACTTCGCCGTCTACCGCGTGGATAATGTCAAAGATGCGCACTCCATGGGCCTCTGCATAGCCCACAATATTGGGGTGTGCCATGGGTAGATCTTTGACAATCACATTGATATCGTCCGTTGTGATGGTCATATTGAGACTGGCGCCACGGAACTCGACTGCAAAAAGTCCCTCGCGACGGAATGGACGGAAAAATTGGATACTGAGTGGCCGTGTCTGCGTCTGCAGCATCTGCACGACGTTGTCGTAGCTGCGACCGACAGTTCGAGCGCCGTTGACCTTGTAGATGACGTCGTTGGATTGAATGAGGCCACTGGCTTCCGCCTCGCCCACTGACCCGTCAGGTTTGCGCTTAAAATGGTTGACGATGACGCTCTCGTTGTGTTCGCGGATAGTCATGCCCAGAGATCGGTCTTGGAACACAACCTCGAACACTTCGCTCTTCTTCATGGGGGCGAGCGCCTCTGTCTTGGGGGACAGACACAGACATAGCGAGTCCTTGATATTGCTCATAACGTCCTTGGTGATGTGTACGAGACTCGAGTTGGCCGTGTCGATTAGGTCCACCCAGGCCTCATCCGACACACCGAACTGTGCGCGCAGCTGCGACTCCACGAGACTCTCGAAGACCTGGTCCGGTACGTTGGGATCCCATGAAATGGTACGCACGGAGCCGTCGTCCAGGTCGATGACGCGGATGCTGCACGAGCCCATTTGGTCCATGAGCTCCATGGCTGGCTGACTTCTTGGTGTGGCTTTGAGCGAGCGGGACTATTGCCGTGTGATCGAAAGAGGGCGAGCGTCCGGTTCCAGGCTGCAGCCGGCCAAAGAACAGCCGTTTTGGACGAGTGCAAAAATCGAGCTTAAGGGCCCCGTCGCTGAGCACATTGTGGGCTTTCCCTTACACAATATTCTCCAGGCGTGAAATATTGCTCAAATCATTCTGGTATTCTTGCACTGTAGCTGGTTTACAAAACCTAGCTAGACGCAGAAGGTATAATAGCGCGTACGCTCACACAACTATTGTACCGATGTGTTTGGAGCCTTATGATGCATTAAGGATGGCTCGTGATACGTCGATCGTACGGTTTCAGTGCTCTTGAACCATTGACGAAATTTCGACTTGTGCTAGTGAGTAACCTCTATTGCTCATAATATGCTAACTGAGAGGGATCACGCTACAAAAACACTTTTTAGAGATAACTCCAAGCAGACTTTTGTGGTACAAAGACTTGGAAAAACTGTAGTGGAGCGCCTAAACTTGCCATCGCCGCTTCATGCAGCTGCATTGCAGACACGCCATCGTTGCGGGGCCCTCGACGGCTCTGGGGCTATGCACGTGCGGAGTCACCAAACCAAGAAGTAATTGACGGCTTTTTTGCAGTCCGATTGCTCCACGTCAGCTGCGATTGGGCCAAAATCGGTCTTCTGTAAAAAAAAATCCAAGCAAAAATTGCAAATTGACGTCACTGACGTTGATCGTAGCACCGCTTTGACGAGCGTTCTTGACAGGATTCCTGCCGCTCCTGAGCAGCCTGGAAATATCTTTGAGTTGATGGTCACTTGCATCGCCTCGGGACAGCAGCATACTGCAGTGGTATGGACATCTATGCTGTTTAAAAGGGTTAACCAAACCGTGGAGGTCAACAGTGTTGGTGATAAGTCTTAACGCGCGGTTGACCTTGCGACTCGCGATAGTTGCTGTCCGCCTCGAATAGTTGCATCAGCGCCGACTTGTGTTGCTTAACTGACAACCATACTGGATGGGTGGAGAGCATGGGCGTCATGGGCGTTACCGTGCTCTACCAGTGGTAGACTACCACAGCAAGTCTTCTTTTTTGGCGGTAGTGTCTATCCACCGTTAGTGACCCCGTCGTTGCCGTGCCGAGACAGCGATGGCTTTCGTTGGTCGTCATACGGCATGCATTACAACGGTTGATTGATCGCATATGTGTACATCTAAGGCGTAAGTAACTGCAGGCATCAACTATCTGAGGACGCCATCATCCACGTCGTGTGAAATGCTAACCAAGCTTCAGCTAATTGCGTTTACTGTTACATGTAATGCATGTTTTGGGTTTGAAAAGCGCTGCCGGAGAAATCCAGAGTGGCGACGAAATATTTGTTGCCTGGATCTCCAATTAGAGGGAAGAAACTATGGAGGGGGGGGGGCTCGCCTGTGGCTAGGATGCTAATCAGACTCACCTCAGCCTGAGGCTCAGGTTTGTGCAAGCTCAAGCTACCGATAGGGCACAATTAGAACTATTTTTCTCCATTGGTTCCGAAGAGCAATTAAAAGAGCTCGCTACAATTTGGACAGTGCATGCTGTGAAGGTCTACCGGATTGGCTAGCAACCTCTACACCGAAGATGGCGGCTTGGGTAAGCCTTCGAGGCGGCTGAAGCCGTTAACCTGGAAGGTACCATCCGAGATGGTTCCCAGCCAGTAATTATGGCGATGAGAACGATGAAGGGTTTCTCTCGATCGAGAAGAAGGCAGTAGTTCCGACAAGGAAAAGAACTGTGAGCGTGAATTTCTATTCGTGATCGGTAGCGCATCGACCAAATCAACCAGCAAGACTTGCAGACAATCCCCTCGGTAGTCATAGCGTCAGGAAATCGCTTTTTATCTCTATTTATGGGATTCCGTTTTTCTGTACTTACTGCGGGTGTTTGTGACACAGACTGTGTAAAACTGCCAATTTTTAAAGACTATGGGCGCGATTATCTGTCGATTGGGCGTATCCATCTATCAATCGCTCTACCGTAATCGACAGTTTCCTTCCTATCCATTCGACAAGCCGCAACGATGAAGCGCGGACGTGTCGATGTCGGTGTGTCCAAGGAGCAGTACGAGGCATCTCTCGCTGCACCGGCAGACTCGCATGACGAAGTTGGACCCTTCCCTCGCGCCCCAACGCAGGTACTTCAGGCACGCAAGATCGTGTTAGCCACGCCGACCTCTTGCTCTCAGGAAGCAGCCCGACAGCTCGCTGCGCTCAACCGCGCTTTCTTGGCCAACCTAAAGGCGCAATGGGTGCACAACAAGACTGATAGCTGGACGCAGAACATGAAGGAGTATATCAGCTACGCGCGCGAGATCAATGCCAAGTTCGGCGCCCACGCCGGCCAAATGCTGACCTTCGGCAGCGGTGACTGTGGCCAGCTCGGCCACGGCGTGGAGAAGGACAAAGACCTCATGGTCGAGTTCCCGCTTGTTGTTCGCCCTCTGGTCAAGCTTGAGATTGTCCGTGTGGCCTGTGGCGGTCTCCACTCGGCCGCTATCACTTCGGCCGGAGAAGTGTTCACATGGGGATGCGACGACGATGGAGCATTAGGCCGCGTCGGAGACGAGAACATCCCGACCAAGGTGACCGGCTTCGGTCCGCAGCAGGCCACGGCTGTTCAGGTTGTGGGCGGCGATTGCCACACGGCCGTCGTGACGCTGGCAGGCAAGGTCTATACGTGGGGTTGCTACCGTGACAAGGAGGGCAAGCAGTGGTGCGACGCACCTTCGGCTAAGGATGCGTTCAAGAAGAAGCAGACGGAGCCTTTCTTAATCAAAGCCCTGGACAACATCGCTGATGTCCGCTGTGGCAGCTCGTTCAACCTGGCGCGTACGAACGACGGCCGTGTGTACTCATGGGGACTGGGAGAAATGGGCCAGCTCGGACGTACCGTGGATGACCAAATGAAGGACTTCAAAGGTGATTACAAGGTTGACATGGTGTACAATGATCACCTTCAGCCGAAGCCGGTGACGCTCGGCAATGACCCGCTCCCGGTGGTTAAGGCCATTGGCTGTGGCTCGTACCACAGTCTGTTCGCTTTGAGCTCGAATGGATACCTGTACACGTGTGGTCTAAACAATTACGGCCAGTTGGGAATCGGTAACACTGAAAACTGCACTGAGCTTCAACTGGTTGAAGATTTGAGCTCCAAGAACGTCGCGTATGTGGACGGAGGCTCTCATCACTCGGTTGTTCTCACTATTGACGGCGATGTATACACGTTTGGTCGCGCTGACTCGGGTCAGCTCGGTATGCTCGAAACTTGCAGCACCGGCGATTTCAAGGACCGTCCACAGAAGGTGACAATTCCAAAGCCCAAGGACGGTGGCTCACGTCAGGTTTGCATGATCTCCTCGGGATCGAACCACACTCTTGCATTAACTGAGAGCAACGCAATCTTCTCTTGGGGATACGGCGACATGCTGGCACTAGGCAACGGAGTAGACCGTGACGAAAACAAACCGTACCAAGTGGACTGGTCGAAGGCCACAAATGGTAAAGACAAGAAAGGCAAGAAGATGGTGTTTGGCAAGGCAGAGTTTCTTCAGGTCGAAGCTGGTGGCCAACATAGCGCCGTGTTGGCAAGATCCACTGACGAGTAGGTCTCATCTGACAACCCACCGCCTGTTGCTATGAGCGCGTAGTTGTCTTGAATAACCTAAGCCAAAAACATGTTTGATCTTTCAGGATAAAAGTTGAAGTTGCAGTGCATCAGGTCACAGTCCGTGAAGTGAGAAAGCATCAAGTATATTTGACTTTAGCAAGACAGCATTTCAGGTTAGCACTTGTGTTCAAGGGAGCACAAGAGCTAGAGACAGCATGCCTATAGCCAAGAGAACGACTAGTTGTTGCGGTGTTCCAAACTGAACTGCAGCTGCCGTGTTCGTGTATCGGTTCTTCTTGGAGAACGAATCCGAGCCCGACGCCGATGACTCAAACGATTTACGTCGCTTGATGGGAGACGGAGCCGGCGTGGACGTATCACACGATGACACAAACTTGTCCAGACTCGTTTGCAGCGTCATGTTCTTCTTGTCGAACGTAGCTTCACAGTTTGGAATATCCAGATCGTCCATGGAGCCGATCATCTCTTGGCAGGCTTTGGACTTGCACAAGGCAGACTGTTGCGACTTTGAGAGGCTCGAGCGCGGCGGTACTTGGAAATTCAGTTTACTGTCTTGACGGCATTTGCTCACTTGACCCGAAACGTCGTTGAAGACGCCTAACTCCCTCGGAGAACACGGCTTGGCAACGATAAAACCAATCTCGACTGCGATAAAAGCCGTCAATAGCAACAACACGAGCCGCGTCATGTTTGTACCTTCGAGGTGTTTCGTGCAGCTCTCGCTTGGTTTGTATCGCACACTGCCGATTGAGAAGTGAGTAGCAACTCGGCACTCATAGAAGTCCATTTAACTCCATCAAAAGCAAATATTTAGCGGTCGGGGCCGAACAGGAAGATCCAAAGTCTTTCAAAGAAAGCAGAGACTGGACCTTTCTCGTCGCTCCCTCCATTGTGCGAGTGGGGTTTATTCGCACGACACTTCCGACATGTGAGATGGAGACACGTCTCGAGTACTTCTGGGCGACGACCTTTTCGTCTTTTGCCTTTCTGCGTATTTTCTTCTGGAACTGGAGCCACAGGAGCAGCCGCCTCGGAGAGGTGAGAGGAAGATTTACGGGGAAAACGAGTGCTTCCGGACCTTGGAGGAGTAGGGTGCACCTCGGCGACGATGAAATACGAGAGCTGCTTCAAGAGCTCCTCTTTCTCATGCTGTAGGAACACATTCTGCTCCAATAGCGTCTCGGACTTGTGGTGGAGATCCTCGATCGTAGCTTGAGCAACTCGAGCCGCTGTCTCCAGCTCGTCGTTAGCTTGTTCCAGTCGCTGGATCTTCCACTTCATCTCTTCCAGTTGCGTCTGGAGCATGTGCTCTCGACGGTGTGTAGCTTGCAGATCATCCTTGACCTCATTGATGCTGCTATTCAAGTCACTTTTATCTCGATCGAGTTGAAGAGCAGTCGACTCAAGCTGCTGCGTCTTCTTCTCGTACCGATCCACTTCGATCTCCAGCTCGCGCTCGTACTCGCAGCTGGACTTGACGTATTCATCGTGAGTGCGTTGCAGCTGCATGAGCTCCGTGGTTTTGAGAGCTAGGAGCTGCGCGACGGCCTCGACGCTCATGTTTACGTCGAACGACTCTTCAAGATCGTCGTCGGCGTCCATTGTGCCGATGCTGGCACGACGGTTCTGGTCTGGTGACAGGGACTTTGCCGCCATCGTCTTGGCCGACGCCATGCTTTAAATGCAGAGCTAAATGGCCAGGATCTCTTGGTCAATCGACGCCCGCGTCTCCTCGTCTGCAAGTGCATTCGCCTGATTCGAGCTCCAAGCATATATTTATGAAGCAAGAGAAGATAAGAACGCTGGACGTTGCAGCCATCGTCGCATGCTTGCTTTTATTGAGATGTGGCCAGTGTCGCTAATTCTAATGCTGCACTGGCAGTTATTTATTTATGAGACTCTCGGTCTTGATGGCTGCATTTTATTTAGACAGCGTGCCTCGCGTCGAGCCAACGGAAGACGCGGTGCGTCATCTCGACGCCGAGGAAGAGTGAACCGTTGGCCGGGAACGCACGCAGCACCGCCGCCGACCAACCACGGTAGAACCCGTGGATGCCAAACTCCGAGTAAACTGCACGGAAAGCCCCACGCAACGAGAGCGGACCCGTTGAGCTGGCTGTCTGCATACGTGACTTCAACACGTCCACGGGAAACATGATGCCCCAACTGGTCGCTCCAGCGAGGCCACCGCTGGCAAGAATTGCTGCAGGGTTCAAGTCATTCTTGGACTCATTGCCTAGCAATTTAGCTGAACCAGACGTGAACGCTTGGTACGATCCGAAGAAGAAGAAGCTGAACGGCACGTCACGCAGCAACAATGCACTGTACCCTCGGAACAAACCCGTGATGCCCTCCTCCTTGCCTACCTTCATCAAACAGTCCCAAGGGCCGTGATAACCTGCAGCAAACAGCAGCACATACTAAGATTTTCATGCTGGTTCTTGCAATTGCGGCAACGATTTGCAACGTACGTCCTTCGCCCAAGTGGCCGCGCTGGAATTGCAGCTTGCATTTGATGTTTTCCGGCACGGTAATAGCCTGCAACATTTCATTACAGTAACACGTAAGTGACCACAATAGCCACACTCTACGACATACTGGCGTTTTCATACCGTGGCGGAGAAGCAACCAGAGAAGGCACCCATCAAGGCCTCGTCCAACGTCGTGAGCTGGTACTCGCCCTCGTGCGCTGCACGTTGCTTGGCGTGCAATGTCAGCACGGCGCGCTTGGCTACGCCATTGGCACTGAAAAGCACCGAGTTCTCGATGATAGAGCTGGACAGCGCCGGCACCGCGCCCTTCCAGAGCGCGAACAATCCTTCCTCGGTGGCAATACGGCGGAAGGCGTCGCTCACTCCGGTGTACGCATTCTTAGAGCCCTGTGTCTGCAGTCGCACTTTTACCACCTCGAATGGAAGCCCTGCATACACGCAGCAGAAGGCGCCCATGACGCCCGAGAAGGTCTCGCGAGGGTCCAGCATCGTGCTTAGGGAGGGCGCTGATTGGGGAGTGCGGCATTGCACTGCAACTGTAAAAATGAGAAATGGGTATAAAACGACTGACAATTTAGCAATTATGCGTCATAAGTTGATATGAAATACCCTTAATTTACCCAATTCAGCAAACCCGCATCATTGCCAACAATGTTGCGCCTGTTGCAACCACGGCTGCTGGCAGCGTCAGCGCTGCGATCCGGTGCGGCCTCGCAGCTCCTTCTTCCCGATGGTGTTAGATTACTTCGCACGGCTCGCGGCGGCACGCGTCGTCACAAGGATCACATGGCACGCATCGCCAAGCTCGAAGCTCTGGCGCAGGAGCGCGAGCATGCTCGACAGGAACAGCGCCGGCGTGTGCTGGAGGCGCGCAACCAGCCGCCAGTCATACCAGCCTTCATCCGTGTGCGTGACTTGGCCAAGGCGCTGCGGAAGCCGCTAGACAAAGTGCTCAAACACACAGTGATCAAAACCAACCGCCGCTTCCACCTCAAGACTAAGAGTCACCCACCTGCAGAGTTCCGCAGCGTCAAGCACATCGTATTGCCCTTCCGCGTTGCGCAAGAAGTGGCCGAGAGTTTCGGTATGCAGGTGGCGTATGATGACGTAGAGCCAGAACTGTCAAATGTAGTGGGAAGCGACAAAGAGTTCTTGGGCCGGCGACAACCGGTAATTGCCGTTATGGGCCATGTAGATCACGGCAAGACGACGCTGATGGACACACTAAGGCAGCAGATGAAATCAGGATTGAGGCGGATCGCACCCTACGAGAAGCACGGTATTACCCAGAAGATTAATGTCTGCGAGGCCGCGTTGACGCCTGATGTTAAGGCCACCTTCCTCGACACACCTGGGCATTTTCACTTCTTTCGGATGAGATCCAGTGCAGCTCAAGTTGCAGACGCAGTGCTGCTGATTGTCGCTGCGGATGAAGGTGTGTTGCTGCAGACAGAGGAGTCGATTGGTGCCATTGAGGAGGCCGGACTACCCGCAATTATCTGTATCAACAAGGTGGACTTACTTGGAGACGACGGCGACGAAAAGGTGGACAGGATTGTGGATGAACTACGCTCGTTCGTCGCGCTGCAAGACAGTCCAGTATTGACGATCTCGGGCAAGACTGGAGTCGGACTCGATGACTTAAAGCTCATGGTGGGGGAGCTGGCCACAGGCCTGGCAGACAACCGCAGACTGGATGCACGTGTTGGACCTGTGACGCACGCTGAGGGACTTGTGCTGGAGAGTGTGGCGTTGAAGGGACGTGGGACGGTCCTGCGTGTGCTGATCAAGAATGGCGAGTTAGCTGCCAAGCAGCATTTCGTGGCTGGTATGATTCATGGCGTGGTGCGCAATATGCGTGACGCTGAAGGGCGCGATGTCAAGCGTGCATTGCCTGGAACGGTCGTCGACATCACGTACTCGAATAAGTCCAAGAACGTGGACGCGCCGAATGAGCACGGCTTTTTCGTGCTGTCTGAAGCTCGGGCGAAGCAGGTGATCGAGCAAAGGTACGCTCTGGGTGAAGAGATGTCTGAGGAGTGTGTGTACTGACGTGACATGAAACAGGGAACTAGCCATGGAGTTCAATGACTGCCTTCTACCAGACGAAGGTGGTACCAACACGAGACAGGAAGCCGAGTACACGTCCACTGAGACGTACGAGGATGACGGAGACGTGCCGGACGCAGAAGTGGATAGCGACGAGGCTGAAGAAGACGATGACGATGTGATTGACGAGAACGATCTGATCGAAACCAAGTCGATCATTGTGAAGGCCGACGGAGCTGGTTCTCTGGTCAGCATTCAGGACACAGTGGACGAGATGTCTGGCATCTCGGTACGACTCATATTAGTCGTGTAGGTGGTCACTTGTACTGACTTCTTATTGCTTTGGTAGACTGTGCGGCTGGGCATTGGCAACATCTCGACGAAAGATATTGACGTCGCGATTAATGGCAAATGTCCGATCTTCGGCTTCAACGTGAAATTGCGCAGTCGCGAGGCAAAGCTGGCAACGGAGAGAGGTGTTCGGATTATTTTGCGCTCCACCGTGCATGAGCTGATTGAAGAGATCACCGCGTTTGAGCAGACTGATTCCGACGATGTCGACGCCACCAGTGACTAAGAACGCTACAGGATTATCATTGTATCCGCTAGAAGCAACATATAGACTGCTTTTTACTCGCCAACTTCTCGTCTTGGGCGTGTTCTCATTTGAAGTCCCCATTTAAAATTTTGTTCGAGTCATTCAGGGGGAGTTATGTACAAGTAGGCCGTCGTGAAAGCTGTAAATGATAAACTCGCGCCAACCACCGCAGCCGTGCACCCTCGGTAGAACCCTCGCAGACCATACTGCATGTAAACCCAGCGGAAGCTTTCACGTAGTGTGGGCGGACTCAAGGCACTTGTCGTTTGCATGTGAGCCTTGACCACATCCGCAGGGTACAGCACTCCGAGGCCGGTGGCCACAGCGAGTGACGTTGAGACTACAGTCGCCGTAAGTGAGTACTCGCATCCTGTGTACCGAGTCGCAATTCATTGCGTATTTGACGTCGTGACATGATACGCGCCGACAATTATGGGGACCAATGGAACGTCACGCAGTAGTACGGACGAGTATCCACGGAACAGTCCGGCAACTCCTTCTACTCTGAAGATCTTGGCCATACAGTCGAGAGGTCCACGATAGACTGCATACTCCCAGTCCGAGACAATGTCATTGGTTTGTCAACAGTAGAGCAATTCTTCTTCGCACATTGTTTACCTCCATGGCCCAAGGGCCCTCGTTGGAACTGCAGCTTGCACGCAATGTTGTCAGGAACAGTTGTCACCTGTTGACAATGGCAAAACTTGTCAAAGGATCAGTGTTGCCACTCAAATAGCTGTGGTGCGTACTGTGGAGGCGACAAAACTAGAGGCACTCGACTCCAGCGCCATCTGCGGCGTCAGTACGCTCTCACTGTCGGCATTTTGTAGTTCCAACATCGCCACCACCTTCTTCGGCACGCCGTCAATTGCATACGCTGCTTTGCTGGATAATATAGAGCCTGCAAGAGTTGGTGTGCCGCCCTTCCCAAGCGATCTCCTCCTTCGCGATGCGGACAAGAGTGTCTCTCACACCTCTATAAGCGCCCCGATGACTTTGAGTCTGCAATCGCAGCGTCACCACATTAAACGGAAGTCCGCCATATGAATAACAGCCCAATAGCAGCACATCCGCCATCGTCTCGTTCATGGTAATGCCGTTCGAACAATGCAATGAAGTTGAAGTAGGTAGAACTCATTTGTACCCATTGTTTTTCACTGACCCGTCACTATGTTTCCCCGGGTTTGTGTCCGTATATCTGCGCTGTCTGGAAGGCGGGTTGATGCTAGGCTAGCATCGATACTCCTCTGGACATTTCCACTTCATTATTGCCGCAAGGTTGACGACATGGAAGACATTCTGAGCAATGAAGTACTCAATAGCTAGCGGCAAAGCTAAAGGGAGGTGTTCGTGTCATATTGCAACCCACCGTGCAAGATCTGATGGAGGTCACCACTGCCTTTGAACACTAATGAATCACATTCTTCCTTTGGCAATGAGAGATACTTGTAAGAAGCAGTGGAGTGAGGACGAAACGATTGCGCTTGCGCGCGCGTACGGCCGGGTGGGTGGTGATCCGCCTGACCTAAGCAGTCGACCTCCTTCATTCCGTCTGTACGCAGAGTTCATCCGGTGCAACGGGGACCGGACGACCGACAGAGAAAGCTGTGTCACGTAAGGGGAAGGCAGTTTGGTCAAGCTGTTGGACGATTGCCCAGTTTGATAAATGGCGGCAGTCCTGTGGAGAGCGTACGTGGTTTTAGCTGGATCGATTAGAGCAACTGCAGCAATGACAGACCATGGGCCACCCCAAGGGAATCCAGGGCTTGACAGAGCGCATTTACACGGGGTTTTACGAATGCTACTCGCGTCGTCAGGCCGGACAAAATTCGCACAAGCAGTTGCTGAAGAAGGCTAGCGTCCCAAGATGTAAGTCACACCAGGAAAAACACGACCCGCACAAGATGCGTTTGAAGCACGGGAACAAGAGCGGCAAGAAGGTTACGACAAAACTGAGAAGTTCGCCCAGCTACCCCGATCTTCTCGAGGGTGTGCTAAAGAAGCACTGGGACCAGCTCGAGGCGATCGAGCAAGAACTGCGCGCAGACGACATTCATGAGATGCGGCTCATGAACGAGGTCGTCCTCGTCTACGCGAAAGAGCGTCCGCCAGTGACCCGCGCTGGGATGAACCAATTGGAGAAGATACTGAGTCGTCAAGGAGAGAGATTGCTCAGCGATCAGGAGTACAGGGGTCAGCAGAGATTGCAAGATTGGCAGCAGTTGTTAATGCAGCTTGGATTGCAGTAGAAGTATAAAGAGCGAGTTACCAGTAGCGTTGTTCTGTAATCCGTGTCTGATGCATATTGAAGCTTTCTTTTGTGTCACTATGTTATCTCGCATTAGTGGCATCCTGTCAAAATCATTATTCTCAGATACGGTACAAGAAGAACTCTCCGAAGCATTATGATGGCGTTTGGGGACGACCCAGACGACGGCATGTCGGAGCGACTACTTGAAGAGAGTGAAGCAGGAAGCACTGCGTCTACCATCCCGCTCACCGACGACTTTGAGCTCATCTCCGAGCGGGAGACGCTCGTGTTCGAGGACGATTTCTTTCGACAGCAGCAGCGACTCGGCAAGCGCGGTGGCTTCTTCCAGACGTACTTGATGGAGAAGATTCAGCCAGGATCAGGTAGATGACACCGATCATATAGTATCCTGCTAATTTTCGTCTAATGTGCTGCTGCATTGCTGCCTTTTCATTAGTGAAAGGATCTATGTTCACCATGACCGTCGCGATCGTGGGTGCTGGCGTCTTGGCGCTTCCCTACGCCGTACAACAGGCTGGATTGGTGCTGGGTATTTCCCTCATTGCACTAGGAGCCATCGCTACCAATTTCACGTTGAGACTATTGCTGGAATGTTCGGATCTGGGGCAGGCGCGATCGTACATGGACTTGGCTTCGGTCACAGGAGGACGCAAGCTTGCAGGGTTTACTCAGCTGGTGGTATGCATGAACCTGTTCGGAACGAGTATCGGCTACCTCGTCGGTAGTGCGGAGCTGATTCAACTTGCGTTGAGGACGTTCTTGGGCAGAACGAGCCAGAGTATCTTCCTGGATCGGCAAGCGCTGATTTTGATGTTGACTGGGCTGCTGGTGCTTCCACTGTCGCTGCTGCGAAGTCTGGAGTCGTTGAGATTTTCATCGTTATTTTCTATCGTGTGTATCGTGTTCATGGCGTTGGTTATTGTGATCAAATACTTCCAGTTCGTGCACGAAGGGCTGGCCCCGACGATCGCGTACCAGCTCAAGCACTTGCCGCTATTTGACTGGCGTCTCAGTCATTTGCTACGCGCAGTTCCACTCGTGGTGTTCTCGTTTACATGCCATCCTAACGTCCTTCCTATCTATTTGGTGCTCAAGCGTCGCTCTAGCAGAAGGATGTACAAGGTCATGAATCGCAGCATCGGCATCGCCACGACTGTGTACTCGCTGTGTGGTTTCTTCGTAGTGCTCACATTCGGCGAGGCCACCCGGTCCAATTTCCTTAAGAACAATTACCACGGCGACGGCGCTGTGATTGCCGGGTGTCTAGGCTTCAGTATCGCGTTGATTCTTACCGTCCCGCTGTTCATGCACACGTTGCGAGACAATATCCGTGAGGCGCTATTGGGGAACCGTCGACTGGATTTGATGCGTCATGCTGGACTGTCGACTTTTCTGGTGCTTGCAGCGCTTATGGTGGCGCTAGGATCAGGAGATATCGCTTCGGTTCTTGGCGTTCTTGGTGCCACGACAAACCCGACGATTTGCTTCATGCTGCCAGCGTTTTTCATCCTCCGTCTGGGTGGCGAGAACCACCGAGCGAGTCAGATCATCGCCGGCCTAATGGCAGTTGTCATGACCATCGTGAGCGCGCTTAGTCTGCTGCAACAAATGCACTTCATCTCCTAAAGGTAAAGTTATCCCTGCAGGTGTATAAACTCTTATGAACACTGATGTTGAAGTCCTTTCTAAAGAATAATGTTTTATTGGTCCAAAAATCAAGTCACAGTCCTCTCTTATTCGCTAAAATAAACCAAAAATCAAACGTCCAGTTGAACTCGACCATCACTCCGGCATTCTGCATCATGGCCAACAGCGAGACCGAGGCGCTTGTGCGCGCACTCGGAGAGCTTGCCGCCTCGCTGCACAGACGTCGAGGCAGCGAGTCCGCCACTACCGCAGAGAAGCGCGCTGTCTTGAAGTGGCTGCACGGCCTCAGCGTTGAGGAACTGGCGTCTCTGTGCTGCGTGGAGGATGTGGGTTTCGTCAAAACGCTATTGCACATGGCGGCGCTATCCAGAGCTTCCAGAGGCGGTGGCACACGTATACAAGAATTCCAACTTTTGCCACAGACCAGCGGCGTCTCCAGCACTGTCCAGCTCAAGCGTGCTACTACGAAAACGCCGTCGAGGAACGCCCCGAGGTGAGGAGGCTTATACAAATCGAATCCAAACGTAGTATTGACTGTATTGGTCGGTATGCAGAGAATTTGTGAAGAGGCCAGTGCTGCGGACGGCGGATGGAGATGTGGTGGGTAGTTTTCACTCTAGAGAGTATGAAGAATGCTGTTTAAAGCTGCTACAAGGCATGAGAGTGCTAAACACACTGCAATCATGCGATACGGTCGCGCTGTCAATGGCATTTTTCCAGCCAGTGCAGAAAGGACAGCAACTCGCTGCAGATTTCTTTCATCTAATGGAGATAATATCGTGTGGGGAATTCCTGATGAAGTGTCCGTCAGATACAACGCTGACGAGTCGGGTCTGGGGGGAGACAAAGGTGCATGGTTATGTTAGAATGTGAATTATAGAGCAAAGCCTAATACGTTGTATGTGTGCATGTTCTTGTCTAGTGGCTGAGACAACAAGGCTACTACTCGCTTCAAGCTCTGTTTGTCAATCAAATTGTGGGCAACTGTAGTCGACTGCAGAGGTTGTCGGCTGTGAATCTGACATCGTATTGTATTTAACTGGGCAGGAACTCAATATATGGGCCTTCTGGAAGCGACGCCAAAGAGATGAGAGCGCGAGAATCCCGCTGCAAGGCCTCGCTTCGAAACTTTACTTGGTAAACGAATGGGAAATGGCGAGTTTGGATCAACAGAATGCAGTGCTGAAGGAGCTGGGTTCCAAGACAATGTCACATCTTAGGACTCTTAACCATTCGGTGACAAGCGACCTACAAAGATTTCAATCTGAGCGGTCGTCGTTGGAAGCGCTTGTGAGCATCCTGAGCAAGATATCGCAGCCGGTGGCTCACGGCGTCCCGGTGGATATTTGCTTTACTTGTTCGTTTGAAGACGCGATCGCGTTTCCACAAGCGGGGGTCATAAAGCTACTGCTGGCAGAGCATCTTCAAGAACAATGCTCGTTGCTTCTGTGTGCAAGACTGTCGAAGGAAGAAGAAGTATCTGCAAGCAACAGAGTTGGAATTACAGACGAGAGAGCCAAGTCTAAAAGAAAAAGCGCCAACCATTCCCAACGACGTCGTGCGAGTCGCAAGAAGATGCTCAAGCAGCGACGCCGTGAGGGCGAAATCCGAGCTGTTCAGCACACACGGTATAACAGCGTGTTGCGTGAGCTCTCCCAACATTTTCGTCAGAAACATGAAGACACTATTGCATGTGTGAACCAGGTGCTTCGTGATGTCATTAACATCGCGATAGACGATGATCAGCTAACTTCAGGGGGTTGGAGCATTACTTCTGAGCTCAGTGCCAAGGATAACGTCCATCTCAAACAAAAGAGGAAGAAGAAGAAAACGAGGAAGAAGAAAGCGGGTGTCGAGGAGGCCAGACATGGGAGCGCCAGTAAGACAACGCGTATGTCTATTTCTTCGCCGCAAACTCTAGGAAAGATGGTTCACTCATCTTCCAAGCCGCATTCTCACCGAGACACAGAAGAGCACAGTGTTGCCACCGCTGGTTCAGATTCGTCACCGTCTCAGCATGACAGACTGCCTCTGGTTGACTGCAATAGTGATAGTGGAAGTACACATGGTGACGGCCCGCGGCTGAGTTTTTTCTCCAATGTTGGGCCGACGAGCACAACGTCGCCAGCTTCTTCGGCACCGCTACCGTCATTCGGCACGCACTCTCTTTATTCGTCGACCACGACGCCGTTCTTCCTGTCGTTGGCACCACGAGACCACCACACCCAACCACCGCGTGTTTCTCGACAAGACCTTGATGAAGATAGCGAAGGGAATCAAGCGGCAGATGGTCCCACTCCTGCTCACGATACTCAAGCGAGTTCAGACACGTCAAATTTCGAGTGGTATCTGCCGTCAGTGTTCTCATTGCAGACCTCCGCACACCGTACCGTTTCCCCGACTCCTGCTCTTGACTGGCATTTTAACCACTGGCAATTCAAGGCTCAAGATGGAGGCATCTCGGACAAGGGCGTGTCCACGGTGGCAATAGCAGAACTAGACCCGCCTCCGCCACCGTCGTCGTCCTCGTCAACTTCCTCAGCATCGTCTCGTTTTGCAACTGGAAGGATATCGGGATCGACAAAAAAATATTCGCTGGCGTCTTTTTCCAAGATTGCTGGGCTGGACGCAAGTCGGCGAGGTGCCAGCCACTTGGAGCAAGAGAAACCGAATTTGACAGTGGCATCAATACGAGAACATGATGATGGTGCGTCGAGCGCGGCGGAGAGCGACAATGAATCGGACTTCTTGTATCGCGAAGGAGGCTTCTTCGATCGCCAGCGTGCGCTCAAACGTCGACGACGCCCATGGCCTTTTGATTACGCCCGCGACCAGGACGAAGAGGAGGTAACGGAGAATTATGACGCTCCGAGACGATGTCTTGCTGCGTCGACTGGTGGTAAAAGCGATGCGTGGACAGACTGTTATCACTGTTGTAAGTGTGCTTGTCATCGCGCTGCTAGTGCTCGAAGGGATGAAGATTCGCCTGAGGAAAGAGAGTCAGGCAACAACAATCGGAATTTATGCGACCAGCACGCTAAAGCGGCATTGATTTCGCCGGTAATTGCAGACAAACCTGTTGAAAACGATGCGATCGCCAAGGTTACAATGGTTTTGGATCGAATTGTTCAACTGGAGGAAAAACTGACCGAGAAAGCGAAGGTACGTGTATCTTGTGAATGGCTCTTTGTATCCGTGTACTTACCTATTGGTCATGCTGCAGGTGATGGATGAACAAGCCGCTTCTGCATCTTCTGAAATCACCACTCTGAAGCAAACCGTAGCGACGTTGACCGCTCAGTTGCACAACATTGAGAACAATATCCAAGACTTGCAGTTATGGCAGACCTCTGTCTCTGCTAACACCGGTGGATTGGAGGATTCGTCGTTAGGCAACGCAAGCTCCTGTGGCTCGTCCGCAGCTCCTTTCTCACCAGCGCCATCATCTCTAGACCAACAGGACGACAGCCCGCCTACTGCAGCACCTCCCCTTCCGGAAGCCTATGCAACAGCAAACTCTGTCATGGGTCCATTCGTGTCCGTCCCCTTGTCGGTGCTGCCTCCACGCAGTAAACTACACTGGGATCTGTGCGAATTCGCTGCTCAGCTTCAAGCAGATAGCGATGCTCGTCTCCCTGCACAACTAGCCGCTCAACGGTTGTGTATGGCGACCGTGCAATCGCTATGGCCGCGTGCTCAAGTGCGTCCTTACGGGTCGCATGTAACGAGACTGGTACTTCCGTCAAGCGATGTGGATCTCGTCATCTGCTTACCAAAAGTACGTCGTGATGCTCCTGCTGACGCTGCCGGCGTGTTAGAAGGTCGAAATGCCATCAAGGAGACATGGCAACAGAACCTGGCCCGCAAGTTGAAACAAGAGCCGTGGGTCGTACGTGACTCGGTCAAGACACTACCCCATGCTGCTGTCCCCATCATTACGCTCCTCACTGCTCCGCCGTACAACGTGAGGCTTGACATATCGTTTGAAGGTCCTGGTCACAATGGGTTGGCTACGAACGACGTCGTCCTAGCACTGCTGCATGAATTTCCACCACTAGCGCCCATGATGCTGGTCTTAAAGAGCTTCGCTATCGAACGTGGCTTGGCAGTGGCGTATTCGGGAGGACTCTCGTCGTACGCGTTGCTGCTCCTTGTAGCACGATATCTCCAGGAACACAGCGACACAATGCCCAATGGGTTCGCGAACGCTTCCAGAGCGGTTCAACACAGTTTGTCAACTGTTCAAGCGGGTGTGGCTGACTTTGGTCTAATGCTCATGGGCTTCTTGGATTTCTACGGCAACCGGTTTGATCCACGCACAACCGGTATCAGTGTAGCTTCACGTTGCTTCCTGAATCGAGAAAGCACCTTTATGGCTGGAGCTGTTCCTGGGACGACAGGTATGGGCGACCCTCATCAAGTGCCACATCAGTATCAGCAATACGCGGCTGATGACGCAGCAGTGGATGATCGGACAAGTCAATACGGCTATGCTCAGCATTGGCAAGTACCTGCGCAACCGCACATGCAACTGTCACCGAATGCTGAGGCTGCTCAAGGAATACGCCGATACGGCTATCGTTCTTCCCTGGACTTGCCGGCATCAAGAGCACTGGATGGCATGGGCGCTGCGACTGGACTCTTGGACTACCAGCAGCTACAACAGCAGACGTACGATCCTCACAAGTTCGACCCAGTGTTCATTGAAGATCCTTTAAATCCAAGTAACAACGTCGGACGAAACTGTTTCCGCATTATGCAGATCAGACGCGCGTTTTCAGCGGCTCATCTCGCGCTACTTTCTGCGTCGCGAGACCCAACGATGTTCGCAGACAACCGGATGGGTTTAGTGGCAGGTGTTGGGCTCCATCCAGACAACATTCTCCGAGCCATCTTGGGTCCAGGTGCTCCCGTAAATGCAAAGTCTGATGCTGCAACGTCGACAACGGTTGGGGGCACAGTGTACATCGGCGGCGTGGAGCACCCGTACGCATTCCACCCTTACAACCAGCAACAGTTCACGTACCACCAGCATCACTACTATCAACCGCCACAGCCTTTCCATCAAGCCACCGTACAGCAGCCTCGCAGTGTGAGTGCGTACAGCAACGAACCGACTTCGCGTCGACACAGTGAGAGCGAAAGTGCGAAGCTCACGACACGCTCATCAGCCTCAACAGCCAGTCACAGTGATCGATCAAGGAAACGACATCTCGGAAGTCCACGCCAGATCAGCACTCACAATTCCAACGTCCCAGCACGTCTGCTCCGTCAAGGCTCCACGGAATACGGACAGCGACAGTCGTCTTTGAAGCAGATTGACGGCCAAAGTATTACCAAGGTGCTTAGTCGGAAGAACAGCGAACGCTCCATGAGCTTATCGTTAAGTTTTGCCGACGTTGTACGTGACGGTGGGGGGTCAAGTGGCGCAGCTGTAAATATTCCAAAGGCGTCGCCCCACGCGCTTGCTCGACTCGCACGGTTTTCACGCGATGACATGGCACTCGAGGAAAGCATTAATGAACGGTGGGAGACCAAAGACGACTCGGAACTTAAGTGAAACGTAACGTGATGAGTGGCATGTCGAGTGGAAAACGCATCAATTGGATAAATACGGCCCTCAGGCTCACCACATGAAAAAGCAAAAAGTGATCGATGGGACCCACGCGATCCTCAGTCCGAAGACCCAAAACTGTAGACGAAACCCTGAACAAAGTGAAAGAACAAGACAACGCGTTAAGTTCCACGGTACATCACCCACAACAAAGGTTAAAGAGTACCGATTTCTCGCGCTTGCGCTCGATGATGTCGAGCTTCATGAGTGTCTGCAAGATCTCCTTGCAACGAATTACCGGCAATCCGCTGTGCTTGACCAAGTCGGAGATAGAACTGTGCATTAAAACTCAAAACAATTAGCAAATCAAAATAAAAGCCACGACGTGTAGTCTCAAGACGTACATGGCGCAGTGTCGGTTCTTGAGATAGAGCACAATGTTCTCGAGCTTCTTGAGCTCTGCAGGACTCTGATACTTGCGTGGGATCTTCTCCCGAATATCTGCAACAACAACCACCTCAGTAAGTAAATCTTGTCGACCTCTTCCAGTCTCTTCATCAACGTACGGCGTTCCCACGTCCATGCAGGTTTGACTGCCTTGGGCGCAGGCTTTCGTCTCTTTATCCGGGTGTTGTTCGAGTCCACCTTCGCCTGTCTCTTCATCGTAGTAGCAGGCTTCTTCTTCATCTGCTTGGACTCGCCATTCGCTTTCATCTTCGTCCCATTTTGATTCTTCGGGACGCTAGTGTCGTTAGGTGATACGCTTGAGCTGCTGGGTAGCGGTATCCCCGTCTCAGGAGACGTTGGTTCCTTTTCTTTTGCCTGCGAGATACGTCCGCGAGGAGGAGCAGCCACCGGCGGCGGAGGAGCGTTCTTGGGATACGTCAGACACGACGCGTGCAGCGCCATCGCTCCCTGAAAAGCGCCAAATGCCGAGTTAAAGTCATCGACGGCATCGTGTACGCGCGACAGCTGCTCCACCTGCTCCTGGAGTCCGCGCAGAGCGCCACAAAGCTCCGCGAAGGGCGAGAGCAGCGGGTCTGCCATGCTCACACGATTCAAAATGCGGCAGGAAATGTGGTCAACACCAACATTGTGTAATGATGGGGTGGTTCTGGAAGGAAACGACGCGACGCTTCAAGATACATGTACCCATCTTGTGGGCATTTATGTTTGCCTCTCATGGCGAACTTCGAGCTGGATCATGCGTATCTGCGCCAAACTGTGAGCGCTCCGTTGACGGAAGCAATGGCGCAATTAGCGATCTTGCAGCCTGAAGATCCTGTCGAGTTTCTGGGTAATTACTTGCTCAAACATGTGGCCAACGTTGAGGCACAACTGAAGCTGCAAAAGTTTAAGCAAAGACAGAAGCTCGCAACACCACGTGATACTGTTCATCTGGATGTGGCTGATGCGGAGCAACAGCGGCATCAAGTTGAGTGGGAGAAAATGCTCGAGGAGGAGAAGCAAGTGCACGACCAGCTGCACAACGAAGCGAGTGTGGCGCTGGTGTTTCAGCGATTCCTAGAGTGGATGTGCTCAATACTTAACGCTGAAGAAGCCTATATTGGCCGTAAGTGCGTTGATCCACAAGGGAACAGCATCGTCCACTTCATAGCGAGCTCCAAGCATCCACAATCTACTGTAGTGGACAAGTTCGTGGCCCAGTCTACCGACGAAGGAGAAGAAGATGTTCGTCGTGGTGTCGGCGTCACCTTTGACGTGTTCAAGGAGATTGCACCGACGGATGAAGACGGTAACCCTGCTGCTGATGCAGAGGGAAACGCACTTCCAGCAGCTACGCCAAAATTCGTGCATATTGAGAACGTTCTACGCGAGCCAAGAGTCATATTCTTCGGTGTGCCAAAGCTCGGTGCCCTCGTTGCACGTGCAGGGCAGTACAAGAGCTACTTGCATGCTGACGTGCAAAATGAGAGCAACCCAGAGGAGCCGAATGTGCTCGAGCAGTGGCTTGTCTTCTCCGTCGACACCATAGGTCAGGCTCGGGCCTTTACCAAGAAAGAGATCGACCGCTTCCGTCACGCCACCGAGCTCTTCCTGACTACTTTGGAGGAGAAGGAACGCGCGCTTTATATGAAAGACAACGAGAGGTGTCTATCTAACGATAAGCCGCTACTTCGAGAGTTCCTAGTGGCGTTTGCTGCACAAGTGGCTGTTCAAGAAGAGAACTTGGCAACACAATTACCGGGACCATCAGAAGGTGAAGAACTCAGTGAAGCAGCTCAACAACAACGTGCTGTAAAGGAAGCGGAGCTTCGGCTTTCGTTCCTGACAGCACTGCTGATATCACACATCCCAACGTTATCGCTCGCTTCTGCCCACGTTGTTCCTTTTAGGGGATTCGTGCTGACAACGTTCGCAACAGCGCTAGAACTTCTTGGCTTTACGCGTCGCGAGCTGTACAATCCTGCTACGGGTCAACCAAGTTGGGACAAGATCGCTCCTTTGCTAGAAGAAACAGAGTTGACGACATCTTTGAGCGCATTTGACGCGTCTCTGGCGACTGTGCGGTCTTTGGCTGAAGCGGACTGTACGAGTGCTAGCGGACTCCATGCCATCAGAAAAGCTCTAACAGCAACACCAGCTGCCGTCTCCCAGGCGAAGCAGAACCTCGCTGAGATCTCCAAGACAGACGTCGATACTGCGAGTCCAGTAGCCTCATGCTTCTACATATGGAGCCTTGCTGTTGTTGCCCGTGCTGAGAGCATCACTACCATGGCTGAACAAGCACAACAGCTCGAAGATGAAGCTGCGGCGGCAGCGGCAGAAGCAGCAGGAGACGCGTAGACCAGGGTACACATCGACCAGAACGCTTCATATTCTATCTCAATGCTCACGTTCAGGGTCATCTTCGCAGTCTTCTGCAGTAGCCACGATCTTTCGGGTGCTAGGTTTTCTTAGCGAACTCTTTTGCTGCTTCATTTGTTGTCGTTCACGAGCAAGACGCTTCATTTCATCTGCAAATTCGGTACGTTGAAGCTTCTGCGCTTCCTTGTGTTTTCCTTGTGCAGCTTCTGTTTTTTCTTTGATCCCGGCGTTGATTTCCTGTGCGTCGTGTCGAGCCTGTTTGAGGAGCTTCTTTTCATGCTTAACACGTCGTTCATGCGCATGTTTCATAGCTGGCACTAATACATCTGCGTCTGCACGGTACACAGCTTTTAAGTGCGCTCGAATGCGGTCACATCCTTCAATAGCAGACCCCGCACGCTCCAGCCGCTGACGCTGCAAGTCTCTTTCGACTTGTAGATTTCGATTCCCAACCTCGTGCTGAGTCGATGCGTCGAATACCGTAGTGTGACCAACGTGTTTAAACTCATAAAAGTAGTGACGAGCTAGCCGTTCGTAGCGTGGTTGCCACGTCTCCTTTGCTTTCATCAAAACTCCCACGCGCTCACAAAACTCATCACTTGATAACGTTGACTTCAAGGCGCTTCTTTCGCTCCTGTCCACAGAGTTTTCATCAATCTCCGGTAATGTTTGAGAAGTCGATACTTCGACCATCAGCTCCTCCCACACCCGTACAAATACAGGGTAACAAACCCTGTTATCTGCGACCCATGCCTTAGTCTCGGTAGGAGTATATCCATTCGCAAAGCTCGTCTGGTACTGGTCTTTCATCTTCCATGTACTGCTCATTTTCTCCGGCAGAAGCGTCAACGGGTTGCGTCCAATTGAAATCACGTCAAGCTGTGCGAACAGTCCGTCAGCCAGTTCCAAGGGAAGAGCGTGCAGACCGTTGTTATACAAGTCCAGCTTACGAAGTGCACGACAGTGTTGGGCCATCTCTCGAGGTAGCATCGTTATTCTGTTTCCGTACAGATTCAGCACTTCCACCTCTGGAAGTTCATAAAGACACGGCTCAAGTTCGACAAGGCGGTTTTCCGCTAGATCCACGTAACGCAGAGACGTTAGATCTCCCAGACCCGATTCGAGTGGTGTCGTGAGGCTGTTGTGCGAGCAACGCAGACTTGTCAAGCGCGTCAGCATCATTAGCGTTCGAGGGAATGTCAACAACTCGTTGTGTGATAGATCAAGCGAGGTAAGCGACTCAAGGCATCCAAGCTCATCGGGGATGCTGGTGAGTTGATTCCAAGACACGTCCAGCTCCCGGAGACGAGTCAAAGCCCCAAGTTCAAGAGGTAGAGCCGTTAATCGGTTGTTCGACAGATGAAGTCTTCGTAAAGAACGTAGCAGTCCCATCGTGACAGGTAAAACAGTCAGACGATTGTGTGTCAGTCGTAATTCCTCTAATAAAGCCCAATGCTCTCCACAGCCAGAGGGAAGCCACCGAAGCGCGTTGTTGTCTCCATTCAGAATAACCAGTCCGGAAAGATTATTCACTGCTGACGGTAGCGATCCGAGCGTGTTCGACTTGAAATTCAGCTCCTGGAGCTTGGGTATCGCCCCAACGCCATCCGGTAACGTTGACAGTGCGTTGAACGACAAGTTCAGACTGCGGAGACTCTGGAGTTGCGGGCCAAAAACATCTCTACCCAACCGCTTTTGATCACAAGCGCTGAGATCCCAGATACTCAAATCTCGAAGTTGCTGTAAGCTGTTCGGAAGTCGCTTGAGGGTCGGATTACCTCGCAGATTAAGGCGTACCAGCTTCACCAGATACTCTCCGATGTCATCTGCTAGGACCTCTAGCATATTGCTTGCCAAGTTGAGTTCTTCAAGTGAGCGAAGACCGAGGCAATTATCTCCAAAGTTCGACAGCTGATTGAATGCCAGATGCAACACACGTAGTTCGTGTAGATTCGCCAATCCTTTTGGGGTGGTCGCTAGTCGATTAGAGCGAGCGTCAAGGAGCTGCAAGTCACGTGCTTCACCAATTTCTTCTGGAAGACCAGTAAGCTCATTACTACTGATATCCAGTGACTGCAGTGAGAATAAATGCGTGAAGATAGCGCCTGGGAGGCTCTGAAGCTGGTTGCGAGCTAAATCCAAGATGAGCAGACTCGACAGCGATGAGAGTGCATCCCGACCATGATACAAGTCGTGTGGGAGCGCCTTTAAGCAGCGACCACGTAGGTCGACAATGTCGTCACCATAGCGTGCTTTACGTCGAATGATCCGCTCCATCTTGGACTCCATGAGCTCCTGCACCACTTCTCGTTCGTGCGTAACGCGCTTTTCAGCCTCAACTTTAGCACGATCAAGTAGACGTCGCTCTTCGCGAGCTTGTCGCTCTTTAATCATACGCTCCTTCTTTCGGTTAATCTTGTCTTGGCGTTCACGGAGCGCTTCTTTGGTTCGCGTGGAAGTAGCTGCATGACGTTGCTGCTGAAACAAACGCCGTGATTCTTCCTGCTCAGCTGCACGTCGCTCCTTCTCAAGGCGTACGACAACTTCCTTCGCTTCAAGCGCTGCACGCAGCTTTTCCTGCTCCTCCCGATATATCTCATCTAGCAGCGCATTCTGCATTTTCTCCATCACTTTCTTACCCTTCTTTTGGCTCATCAGACCATTACGCCCTTCAGCATTCCGCTTTTGTAACTCAGCTCGGACGTCCACCAGCTCCACCCATGCATGTTTGAACTGTTCTAGGGATATCGTTGTCGATTTGGGGAGCTTCGCACGTGCCACTTTACGAGCACGTTTAGTCTTGAGAGAAACACCGAGCAGCTCCAGCGCTTTCTCGTACTCGAAGGCGTTTAGAAGCTCGTCTCGGTCTCCATCCAATTGATGAAATACATCGATCGGTGACAGAGTCTGCATGGAGTTCGTAGTGTTGGTGTCATCCCGTTGCAGCTTCTGCTGGGCGCGCAAGTAGTTAGTTATATACATTGCAATGACGAACTCTCGTTCATCAATGTAGCCTCTGTAAGAATTCACACCCTGTTAGTACAGTTACAACAAGAGTGAGACTGCAAGAAGAGTCCACGTACTTGTTCTGGTCATCCACCAATCGGAAAAAGCGTTTAGCTTTCGACTCCAACAAATTGACCTTCATGTAAGCCAGCATTTGCTTGTACTCTAGAGAATAAATAGCATTAACGTGAGACAGCACCACGAGAGGATACAACAATGCAAATGCACCTTCGAAGTCGATCGAATCCGACTTGTCCTGGTCAAACATGCGAAATAGTTGACGCGCATTGCGTTGTAAAGCATCGAGAGATAGCCCCTCTGCGCCTTGAAGTTGGTCTTGCTCCACCTCCATGACCGTCTGCAAGAACCGGTCGGAGAGAGCTTCCATCTCCAGTGCGACTTGTTCCGCTGACTTGGTCGGCGGTACGTACGTCTCGAAGACTCCATACGCCAACACAAGCATCTGCGCCGTAGGAGGCTTCGCAGAAGCCGGTTTCCCAATTGCCACACTCGCAAACACAAGCGGATCAAACACTAACAGCTCCTGCTCAAACATGCGAGGCATGTGCAATCCTTTCCACTGGCCATCAGGTCCACAATCGAGTAGCACAGGTTGAGCACCAGTCTCCATCTTCTTCACGCTGTGTTCGTCATCCAACGCCCGTTCATTAGCTCGAGATATAATTACGTACAGCGGGAGATCACGGTCATTTCGGATACGAACGTCTTCGAAGCGCAGCCAATACGTCAGTACAGGACTCGTCGGTCCAGCTGGAGGTGGAGTTAGCCGTCGAACAAGCTGCCACAAAGCACGTTAAGAACAAGTCCACTTGTCCACAGCACACGAAGAACACACCTGTATCTTCCCGACGATCTCGCGAGCTGAAGCAGCTTTCGCTGGACGAAGTGCAGACAACCATCGGCTTTCCTTGGGCTTGAACGGATTCGACACTTTAGTGCGAGGAGTGTAGTCATGAAGAACGGCTTCCAGCAGTACGATCGTCTCCATCTTCTCGGCATCCAGCTTGGTTCACCCTATCAAGAGACACAAAACACAAAAAACTAGCGATGTGAAACTGCATTTCATTTTTACCTCGAGACGATATTCTACTCGACTTGCTCCAGTTCGTCCGCATCTTCGCTTGATTTCCAGCAATTCGTCGTGCTCTGCTGACAAGATTGCGCTAGTGTACAGTGTAAATTACTGTCGCCGCGGTGCTGTCGTTCCCTCTCAAAGCTGGCGGCGATGAGTGCCCACAACCGATGCGATCGTGCTGACACTACTGGCATTCGTGCTGGTGCTGTACGGAGGTTGAATGAAGTCTCTGTCCTTGTCCTCGTCTTGGGTAGTTGTACCAGTGCTACCGACAGTTGTGGTGGATGCCGTGTTTCGTACAACAGTCGTCACCTTAGTATAACGCGACGGGATGGTGACGAAATACTTGTTCATGGCCAGACAAAAGCGCTTGCGGTAGTGTTTCGGGTTGAGCACCGTGATCTCGCCCTCCTCCTGGATCAATCGCTTGCCGGCGTGCTCCATCATCTTCATGAAATCATACTTGTGGATATAGTCGATAATACACGCCACCAGCTCCTGTTTCTTGACATCATAGCCCACCAGCATGGAGTAGTCTGTGGCTTGCACCGATGCCAAGAAAGTTGTATCGTTCATGATGGCAGACAGAAGCAGCGACAACGCAGACTCTTGCAAAGGCAACGGGATCCCACCAGCTAACTCAACGAAATTGCGATCCCACAAGACGCTGCGACTGTCTCCACTCTGATCCTCTTTGTATCGTCCTTCCATCTTGCCTTTCAGGTCAAACGAAAAGTCCACTTCGCGTCCGTACATCAAATTCTCCATCACGACCACGCACATACGCACGTTCTGGTCACTGTCGCCACTTTGAGTCGTGTTGGAGATGGAAACCTTGTAGATACCCAGCACTTTTGACAGCATGGAAGACAGGTCGTTCTCAAACGTCTTGGCCATGTAGCAGAAGTACTCGTTAGCCATACTCAGGAACATTTGCAGCTCGATCTCCGGGATAGCCTTCGCGATAAAGCGTTCGTCACGGGTCTTTAAGAAACCAGCGCCAGACTTACCACCTGCTACATTCCATTGCTGGCAGTTGCACAGAGATTCCACATAGTTTCTGTCACCGCCGTAGTACAGTTTTCGGAGTGCGTGGAATTGCATGGCGTAGTACGACTTGCAGCTGAAGCGCATGGCAGATTGGAACTGGTTTTCGTCGACGAAACTGTGGTCCACATTGTTGCGCGTTGTGGAGCGGAGAACACGTAGCATGCTCCTGATCTCTTCGGATAGATCGCAGTCAACAGGAGGCGACGTGCCGTTCGTCTTCGACTCGAGAGCAAACCGCGTGGCTTCCTTCCTCATGTTATCGTTGATGCATTGGCTGTACTCGTTCGAAAACAAAGAATACGCCACCACTGAAGTCGGCTGTTTAGCGTTAACCAGAACCGTAGCCTTGTTTGCACCCATGAGCAAGCTAGGATGCCACTCCAGTAGACGTTTAGGCAGTGCCAAGTAGCCCAACCCGTCAGGTTTCTTAGCTTGTTGCGTCAAACGGAAGTTCTCAAGCGCTGTCTTGGATGCCAGTGCTCCCATTGTAGCTGAAACATGGCCAGGAACACCCACGGTTGAGATGGATTGCTTAAACAACGCTGCCGGAAACGATTCCGTTTCCACCTTATAGTCGGCTGGGAATGAGTGGCTCGATTCATCGTATCGATCGTAGCTTTCGTCTGTGTCCCATGGTTCCGATTGACGCGAGCTCGTAGTTCCATTTTGTCGCAAGGTATTGGCTACTTCGTTGGCTACTTCAGCCATTCCTCCAGCTGGAGAAGCACTCTTGGCAGCAGCCAAGCTGCGTGCAAAACTTGCGAGATGCGCCAAGTTTCCAGGCTCCTGAAAGTTGATGTTTACTGGCGTTGCTTCAAGTTCACTGGGAGTAGGGGGCTCACTGTAGCGGTCGCTGTAGCGTTCACTGGATTCCGCTTGCTGTGCTAACTGGTCGAACCAAGCCTTAGGCAATGCGCTCTTTGGGCTATTGACAAGACTCGCCATCGTGGGCTTAACTGTAGCCTGAACAGCGCGTGTGATACGCAAGCTCCAACCGACTGCATACTCGTAGATTTCACGAAAGTGAGCGTTATACGCGAACACATCTTGCGGCGGATTCGACTCGATCTTGGCGCCGAAGCAGGAATACCATTGCTGGACTTCATTCCTCAGGATCTTCAAGTTCTGCTTGGCATGGAGCGGTGTGACCAGATCGGCCATCGACTCAGCAACTTTCGACGTCGTGACGCCGTAAACTTCACGAACGAGATCGCAAAGATCATGGATGGCATCAAGCTGAACCTGATGGTCAATATGTTCCTTCCAAAGTGCCGGCTGCAACGCAACGTGGAGAACAGGCTCGAGAGGCTCCACGTGAACGCTGACAACTCGTCCCCGACGAGAGAAATAGTGAACCAGCGACGAATCTCGTGACCCACTCACACCAGCCAAATGGGGAAAGCGGACACAGTCAATGTCCATAGCCTTCCCGTAGAGCATATCCTCCAGAAACTTTCCAAACGAGTAGTTCCACAAGTCACGCGGCACCAAAGAATACTCCGAGGACAAGTGGTTACCACCGCTCATGTTGCGTGACCACATTAGCACATCCTCGGACCGAATATGCTTCAGGACAGCACGGTAGTTGAGCTCTCGAAGGAATTCCGTTGGTAGTTGGTCACTTGAGTCCTTAAAATCATTCAAATCCTTCACTCGTACGATCACACGGCCAGTATCATGTGAAAACGACAGCTTCGACGTTGAGAATGCGCGTTTAAACTCAGTTTTGCTGCTCGAGAAGCAAAAATTGTCGAAGAACTGGCCAACGGACATGTCGTTGGAGCTGTAGAAGTCGATACACATCATGTCTGCTTTGGACGCCGTTTTACCCTCCAGCGAACTCCAGCACGTAGAAAACAGGATGCGATCCCTAAGAGAGTTGGACGACTTTGCACCGCATGTGCACCAATTGGGGTGACCCGACTGCACTTCGGATGTGCTCGACACGCTACAGTCGTCGTCGTCTGCTCCACGAACCACTCGGAGCGAGCTGATATTGTTAAACCGTGTGTGAGCCTTGCACCACTTGCACATCGCCTGCGTCTCCTTCAGGGCGGCACGCATCGACAGAGAATTAGACTTGAGTGAGATATAGAGGGATGTCGACGACTTGGCAAACCATTCCTCTGCTACAGACCGCTCATGGTTCTGGCAAGGTGCAATATACCCGTAAGCTGCCAGCATTGACCTCTGCAGCCGCATGTTGTAGGCGGCTCGGATGATTGCGGTCAGTACGTTAGTAATCTCCGTGAAAACGTCTGATGTTCCTCCACGCAAGCACAAAGTGCAGCCCTTTGATGTAATTCCTCCTTCGAACACGATGTTCTGACGTTGTGTGCGCTTCTTCCGTTGCTTGGAGACTGCATAGCTGTCTTCTGCTACGTAAAATCCATCCGCATTGGCCCTAAATGCAATTTTCTTCGCACTTTTGGGCTCTTGATCGCTCAGTAGGACGTAGAATCGCTTGCAGGTGCCGATAACCCCGACATCCGACATTTTGTCAATGTGATCATACGATGTGAGTACAGATGCGCCCGTGCAGCGAGCAATACGCTGCAAGTCGATTAACCGGACGTTCTTGACGACTGATACGTTGGCTTTGCAGAGAAATTCCTCGGCAACTCGGTGCACATGGCCTTCAAACATGACAATATCAGGGTTGAGAGTCAGGATCTTCTCCGTAACGATGTGCATGTACTCCACTTCTTGAACAGCAACACTCTCCAGCGACGATATAGCCTCCTTCTTGCGCTGGTAGTCTAAAGCTGAGGCGATCAGGAGGATACGCGGGTTCAGGATATCGCTTCTCATTCCTTTGCGAGCCAGACTTTTGTGAACGAGAACGCCGTCGATAAAGAAACTATCTTGCACGCGGCCTCCATCTAAGCACTGGACACGGACATAGTGCATAATATCCAGCAAATCACCTTTATCAGGCTCACAGGATACAGTTAGCGCCGCTCGGTGAGCGAAATAGCTGATAATTTGCATCCATCTATGCTGCTCGACCATCAACAGCTGCGACACTGCCGGGGAGCTGTCCAACAAATGGAAGATGCGCTCTTCGATACGATCACGAGCATCTTTAGACATTTTCTCCAAGGCTGCGTCACGTCTGGCAACACATTCAGAGTTTTCTGCCTCGTTGTGAACATCCTGGGACAATCCAACCATAGTAAGGATGCCGGAATCCTTCGCTGCTAGTTTGTTAGGGCCGAACGGACACCACTGAGCAGCGTTTCCGAAGCGTGGCGTGTCAAATGACGCGGACAGTGCCTTGGGACGCGTTGTCATTGCATTCGAGGTGGGAGGGAACGCTCCGGCAAGTCGTGCTTGAGCATTCGACTCTGCGACAAGACGCTTAAACTCTGCTTCGCTCCAGCGATGGTTGCTCGGGTTCCCTAAATCCGTCTGGCTGTTTGAGCGCTTGAGTTTTCGCGACGCGTGCTGAGCGTCTTTCCTTCCAGATAGCATCTGAGAATCGCTAAATGTCCTCAGTCTGCGTCCAGTATCATGTCCAGTTTGCTTGACCTCCTTCGTCAACTCATGTAAATGAGGCTGATGTGCCAAATGCTGCGCACTCGCAACGATCTGAACCTTCGGAAACATACTAAACAGCACTGGCGGTCGCGACTTCTCCAACGATTCACTAACGCGCATATCGTCGCTGATCTCGTCTTTGCCAAACAACTCTGACTTGTCCAGCTGTTTGTAATTAGAAGCGTCGGACGTCGAGCGTTCCATAGCTTCAGCGATATGTTGCGGCATCAGTAGCAGCGTCTGAGCACGAGGAGATCTCACTGAGTTCTGTGGGTCTTCCTCAAAATTGGCTCCTGTAAGCTCCATCTGCAGGCCTTCTCGGAGCTGTCTATGGCACGTATGACACACCAGCTGCTTCCTCAGTCGTTCAATAGATTCATCCACTTTGTTGCCTCCAAAGGACTGCGGCAGTCTCGCACAACAGTTCGCACAAAATATCTGACCACACGATCGACAGTGGTGTCTCCTTTTGAAGAATGTGAAGAGCTGTTCGCACTCATAACAAGCTTTGCTGGACCTGTCAGACATCCAAAAGTGCTTGAAAGACCTGGATCTTTGTCTTCCCAGAGTTGGAGAGGTCTGTTCCTGTATCTGCATGGGCTCCTGTCTCGTGTCTGGTTCTAAGTCGTCTTGGAACTGCTTTACGCCGGGTAAGTGATGGCCCTGGGGCGACGGGAATTGCGTGAGCGCGTATGGGTTGCGGTCTACATTCATCTCGTGCTCTCTCTGGGCTAGATCAATCTCAATATGCTCCCCAAGATTCGGCACCTCGATGGCTGTGCCATCATTCCTGTTATCGTTCGTGCAGAGAGCGCGTCGAATTGTGCTCAGTACGCGCTGCAGACTCACGCCACGTATGGATTTGCCGTTTATAGCAGCCACCAGCGCTGCTGGGTGGATACCTAGTGCCTCAGCGTCGCTACCAGGCAGCACAAAGTTGACACAGACGCGGAAGTCGTGCCGTGACGAGGCCACCAATTGCACACCCAGTAACGCGTCCAAAGAGCTAAACATGGTGCCCGCGCGTTCGCCCGCGCGCAGCCTGGCCACGCGCAACGTCGAAATCTTTTCCACGGAGCGCGTAAACTGCTCCAGCGATGTGTAGCTCCCCTGGCCTGCACGACTGTTGCGAGCGATGCGCGTGGCGGGTCCCGTGAATGTCAGGGGCGCTGTATTAGGCGCTGAAAAGAGAGCCAATTCGCGCGACGACGACAGGGACGACGCTCGTCCGGCCTTTAGCGCTGCTGGAGACTCCGGCGCAGACACGCACGCGCTCGTTAGCTGCCGGAAGGCGCCGCAGACAGTCGCCATTGCGCTCTATTATGCCGTGGAATGCGGACTGCCTGCCAGGCCTGGTGAAGTTGCTGTATAGAGAAATGACCATCACTCCTTACTGCGTCCATCTGGAATTTTTGTTTGGAAACAGTCAGACGTGGCACTACGGACCTAACATGTACATGTACCTACATGTAATGGACGAGTTTATAGTGTATTCGCAGTTTCACCTGCACGGATCTATTGACGAGACCATTTACGCTTGGTGCCTTGCACATTCGACATGAACTCAACGGCAACGATGATGAAAACATAGATTCTAATGATAACAGAGCTTTATTTTATACTTGGGGCCAGAGGAGCAGCCCACGCTGCAGCTGAGCGGTTCTACGCTACTAACACCACCACCACTGGTGGCCTGGTGGCACCAGATCTTGACTTTTGTTCCGGGACTCAAGTTACCTGGACGACGCGTCCCCGCCGCTTCTTCGTGTTCTTGATGTTTATCACGAGGAGCGGACGATCTGGGCGACGTGGTCGTACACCTTGCGGACGAACACTTCGTCCAGAATGCGGTACTCGATCACGAAAGCAAGCAAACGCTGCCAGCTTGCAGCCAGAAGTTCGCTCACCTCCAGCACTACGAAAGCGCGATAGTATCGCTGGTACAGGAAGATAAACACGCGGATGAGTCCGTTGTAGAGTCCGCGAACGTTGGCAACCTGAGTCGACAGGTTGCCACCGGCACGTCCGTCGTCGTCGACGCTAAAAACATTTTGCAGGCGGCGCATAAGCTCGTCCACAGCGCGGCCCTCAGCGGTGGGCGTCTTAATGTCCGAAAGCATATCGTACATGATAGATACCTCACTGTAGAAATCCGCAGCCATCTCTTCGGCAAGGCTCACTGCCTCAGCGGGCGACACCGCCGAGGGATCCACGTAAAAGTCCGCGAACTGCATCAGAGTCGCCGGTGGCGCCGCGGACGTCGAGGTCGGCGTGATCGGCGTTTGCTGGCAAACTAAATTGCTGCTGTAGTTATTACTGTTGCTGACGGTTCCATATCCATTGCCGTTGCGGGCCACATTGGATTTGTTAAAGGACGAAGAGTTGCGAAGACGCTTGTGAACCATCACATGATCCTGGTGCGGTCTGCAAGCAGCGACGTTGCGGCTGCTGTTCAAAGAGGGGAGAGTGGGGAAGCTCGGGGGTCGTTCGCGTTTCATGCTACGAGGGATAGCGTTTGTTCTTGCCTGGCCTGCCTATTTGCCACCTGGCCTTCCTAGCCCGATATCGTTCCTGCGCCCACAGAGCTTCTTTGCTTTTGGCGGGCGCCGCGATCGGCCGCAGCAACCTCAAGTGCGATCGCATCGTTTTTTTACAAAGTAGCCACATCCAAGTTCCTCTTTCAGCGGGCTACCGAAATTTGCTTATGTATCATATAATAACCTTTAAATACGAAAACAAACCGATAATTTCTCTAACGCACAATGAAGGGAATCGAATAGCACCCCGTTTAAGTAGATAATGCAATCACACTTACAGTTCCAGTAATGAACTGTAAACTAAAATTGCGATGATTAGGTCTCAGGAAAAATTCTTCAAGCACTAAAATTTTCACTCTACCGGCTCGCGATCATGCTCGATGGTACGCAAGTCCCGCAGGCAGCCTGGCCGCGGTCAATTTATAGCCTCGGCGTGACCAAAATTGGATGTGTCCGTTTGTGTACTACAACGAGCTTCAGAAGGCGGCATTGAATGCTCGCAGTCTCCTACGCATATGCTGCACATCAGCCAGTGATGGCATTTTCAAAAATATCATTTCTGTTAAAACTTTGACTTGACGGTTGAAACTTTGTGGAAACGACGTTGCGCTTCGTTTCAGCATTGCAAAACAGCCGTTTGTTTGCAAGAAGGCGCTCTAGAAAAGCTAAGAAATAGAATTGTTTATACCTCCATTTCTGCCATCACTGCATCAGCGTCCATTGGATTGCTTGTGCCTCACGGCAGAGTGAGCCGATAAATTTTGGTATGGATGCACACTCCAAGGTGTCCAACCCGATCTGCCGTCCAGATTGCTGACGAAAATGAAACAAAGGAAGAGTTCATACTCATACAGCTTTAAGTGCGTATATTTTGAGATCAGCGTTTAGTGGTTGGTACTTTCAGCCAGAATGCAAGCGATTCGCCTCGTTGAACACGTGGATCACGTTATAGCTCCACTGGACCACGGTAGAACCACTTGAAACTTGGACAGCAGACAGATTTAATCGCACTGCAACTTTTCTGTTAGTCTCAGTGGCTGTTGATACCTGCGAGTGTTGCTATCTCGCGCGATCGTCACTTACCTGGTGCGCTTCCTCCATGCTGCTGCTTGCTTCTGCAAACTTGCCTACATATACTACAGTAACGTAGTTATGGTAGACTACTACTACAGTAGTAGTTATCAATTCTAAGGGCCGCTACGTGATGTAGCTCTACAATTTTAAGTGAGCATCATAAACCGTTATCTAACATGCCTTTCGCGAGGCGACTAAACCTCTTTCAGAGTAGCTGATTGAAAATTATCATTTGCTCAATATACAGGGAATGAATATGAATAAACAAAACACTCATTCGTAAACGTTTTCCCAATGCAAATTCGATCATTCAGAAATGTTTCACCCACTGACAAATTCGGAAATGAAGCGAAACTGAAGCTCAGACATGAAGCCAACGAATGGCTACCGGTGCTCGTTACTGATTCGTCAATAAAAACGTAATTACACTCTGTAAAAAGTTGTCAGCCGTAAGATCCTTCGCAAAAAGTTAGCAGCGTCTATCCTCAGCGCCGCCACAGCCATCATCGCCGGCCTTTAAGCTGCTTCTGTGGCTATCGTAAGTGAGTCTACACGAGTCCTGGTAAGTCTAAACAGCTGAGGAGGTTCCCGTGCCGGTAGTCTTAATTGTTGAGCAGGTTTCCGTTATTATTAATAGCGTGAGTTACGATTCGAGGGTTTCGCTTGTCAAACACAGGCACGACGAGCAGCTGTCGCAGATCTGAAGCCACTGCACTCAGCTGAAAGACTCTTTCAAAGAGCGCTGGGTGAATCCGTTGCAGGCAGCAATCGGCGGCCGAAGCGGCGACCCGTTTGGCGGTAGCCTTATTTCTGTGGAGCTTCCAGTGGAATGCTTTGTGTCTTCCAGGTCGCGTCGCTCGCCGGGTCTCAAGCTTTTTGTATTTCTTAAAGAATAAAACCGGATTATGGATGTCAATACTGTATTCTGATTACAACCTCAAATATTGGCTTGCTTCAATGAGGGTGGGACCGGAGAATAATCCGCCCTGCTGAGACATACATTTTCCAACCTTCTTAGCCGCCTGCTTGCAGAATGCAAGGTTCAGCTCGCTCAAAAGCAGATTTGCCTCTTTCGTGCACGAGGACAGAGCCGCACGCAGCAGTGAGTACTATTATATAGTGATGGACGTCAACAGGAAGCGTGTGTTGGAGCTCTCTGAACAGGGCGACTGGGACGAGGTGCTGCAGCTTATAGCGCGGAACCCAGCGCTGGCCCAGGCGCAGGATGACTTTGGCATGTTGCCACTGCATTGGGCCTGCACGGAGCCGTCGGTGAGCCTCGATGTCATTTCGACGCTCGTGCGGGCGTTCCCGGGCGCCTGCGAGCTCGAAAATCTCTCGGGCATGCTGCCATTGCACGTAGCAATCAAGGCCAAGGCGCCGGGCCTATTGGTCAGCGCGCTTCTGGACGTGAACCTGCAGGCTGCTCTTGCCAAGGACAGCAGTGGCCACTACCCCGTGGATTTGTCCATCTCCAACAGCTTACCGAGCTTCACCATCGACCTCATCCGCAAGGCCGGCGCGCGCGCGTTGCAGTTAGGCACCAAGATGCGGTCGACATCGTCAACGGATGACCTCACAAGCATAAGCAGTAGTGACCACAACCAGAGCGAAGACGATGACGATATTCCGATGCTAGTGAAGACCCAGTCCATGATGACCTCGACTCGGTCTTTGGGTCGCGAACTTTACACGGCATCATTCACCATGGACCCCATGGACTCGAACACTATTTCCTTGCAGCTCAAGGAACTACTTTCCCAACTGCACCAGCTGAGTGTAGACATTCGCGTGAACAATACGTCGTCATCAACCTCGACGACGTACTGCAGCTCGCTCTCGAGCGCGTTCTCCTCCACCGGGCACCTCGGCACGGAAGGATTGGCGTCGGTTCTATGGAACCCTAGCGACCGCTTCGGTATCGTGCTCGAGCCGGCCGTCAAGGGGATGGGTGCCAGGATAAAAGGTTTCTCGTCTCGTAGCGACGTGTTGGGCGTGGAGTCGCTTGCTGAGGGCGACGTACTGGTGAACATCAACGGCACGTCGGTGGCGAACTCTACGTTCACGTCTATTATGCGCTTCTTGAAGCATTTCAAGGGCACGTGCAAGCTGCGCTTCCGCAGTGCCGTCGACGCAACCACCGCGAGCAAGTGCAGCACAGGTAGCACGGGAAGCAATCCCGCTGCGGAACAGGACAACGTCATGTACTCGAAAGTGGCAGAGATGCTGGAGACCACGCTTAAGAAAGTCTCCGCCGTCGAGGAAACAGTGCGTCTGAGCTCAGCCATGTCGCTCTGCATGTAACACTTTCCGTTTTTGAGGTGCCAGAGGAATGGTGCCGATCTAGGGACGCCTGCGCTATTCGCCCGCTTTAATGTTATGGTAATTTTATATGGGGGTTATAACCAGCTTGGATCTGTTCTTCTACACGTAAAGTCCCTGCATTCAACTCGATGTCCATCCCATGACGACCATGATGAATTAATGATTCAGATGATGGCCATCAACTCAACTTCTTCACTCTAGGTACGATCTAGATTTCGTATTTAGTAAAAAAAAAACAAAATCTTCGCACATTCAAGTCGATTTTTTCGGCACATACGTGTCCTCTGCTGTAATAGGTCTACCGACGATGATGACTCCTGCGGCTACGCAGTCGCTTCAAGATAAGCAGCGAGGTACGTCTTCGCGGTATGTGTCCTCGCCTACCTCTGCTCTTTCTTCTCACCCGCTGTTCCTCGATAGAGAACCTGCTGCGCATGCTTGACTTTAACTCTGAAAGCGCTGGCGGCTTTGCGGATGCAGCCCAAGACTCCGTGTACGGTCCACACCACTCACTCAACCTGCAACATAACTTATGCCCACTGCTTATCCTCTCATTCCTGTGCAGTGATCGATGGGGTGACCAGTGGAAGATCCTCATCTACGATCGATTCTGCCGCGACATCATTTCGCCCATTCTCAAACTGCACGAGCTGCGCAAGAAGGGCGTGACGCTGCACATGCTGCTGGACACGGAGCGTGATGCCATTCCGGACGTCCCAGCTATCTATTTTGTCGAACCTACGCGCGAGAACTTGGAGCGTATCGTCTCAGATTGCTCCAAGGAGCTCTACAGCTCGGTGCATCTCAACTTTGCCTACCCGTTGAGTCGTGAATCGCTTGAATATTTAGCTCGCGCTTCGGTAGAGGCTGGTTGTACCAGTATGGTATGTGATTGCACTAGGTTTGGTGGTGGGGGTTGGCGTATTGACGACTTTCTGTTTGTTGTGGTGTGTAGATTGCCAAGGTTTACGATCAGTACACAAACTTCGTCTCACTGGAGCCAAGTCTATTCTCACTAAACCTCCAGAACAGCTACCGAGCGTACAACGACCCAAATGTGGCGGATGTACAGATTGAACACTCGATGAGTGCCATCGTCAAGGGGCTCTTCTCCGTGCTGGCCACAAGCGGAAGCGTGCCAGTGATTCGCTGCCCGAACAATGATGGTCCATCAAGAATGGTGGCGGAGCAACTCAGCTCCACAATTCGTGAACATTTGGTACGACTATTAGCACTGTTTAAGGACTTCGCGAAATCTAACCATTACTAACTGGATTGTAGAATGTGAGGAACGGAGTCTTCACTGAGAACACCTCCAACTTTCAGGTATGTGGTGACCACAGGTTATAGATTTTTTTCTTCTTAAGTCTCATTTTTTTCACAACGTCTTGGAACTGATAATTCAGCGTCCTCTGCTGATTGTCATGGACCGCAATGAGGATATCGCTTCGAGCTTGTACCACCCATCGACTTACCAGGCGCTAGTTGATGATATTCTATCCATCCAGATGAATCGTGTCAAGGTGACTGTAAAGACCTCTGGTGGAGACGATGGTGGTGATGACAGTCGGTCGCTGGATCGCACGTACGACTTGGATGTGACGAGCGACAAATTCTTTGAAAGACATGCCGGCAGTCTGTTCCCGGACGCTATTGACGCAAATGAAGAGGAAATGAAGCACGTCACGCGAAAAGAGGAGCAGATTCGAGCACAGACAGGTGGTAACGATACACTGATGAATGGTACGAAGGATCTCGTGGCTGCAGTCGACACTCTGCCGGCTTTAGTGGAGAAGAAGAAGATGCTGGAAGTCCATACGAACATTTTCCATGCGGCATTTGAAGGTGTGACGAAGCGCCACATCCCGTCGTATTCCATGTTGGAACAGAAGCTCATTGACGGCTCGCATGTTGACAAGTCGGAAGTGCTGCAGCTGCTATTGAACGCTGAAATGGGCACTTTGGCGGATAAGATGCGTTTGCTGATGATTTATTTCCTGTCAAGTGGTGCGAGCGGTGCGGAAATGGCCGAGTTCGAGAACGCTTATCAGCAATGCGCTGCAGCGTCAGAGCAGCCAGAAGCGTACATGCAGGCATGGAAGTTTCTCCGAAAGCACTCGGCTTTCCAACGACGTGCCAGTGTCGGGGCGAGCATGCAGTCTGAAAGCAACGCAGGGCCTGATGGTGGTGTCAACATGAGCAAATTCAAGGGTCTCGCTCAGGGTTTCCTCGCTCAAGCAGCTGCAAGCTTCAAGAACTTCTTGCCCGAGAACAAAAAGCTACACGTTACACGTGTCACGGACGCCATTTGTGAGATGAAGCCCAACACCGAGGACGAAAGCTTCCTGTACTTGGACCCGAAGGTAAACTCTGGTGTGTTTGGCAGGCAGCATTTGACAGAACCATTTATGTAACGTCCTGTGTGTGTGTGTGTGTTTTCTGTTTGCATGCAGATCAAGGCCAACGGCAACGTGCCTCGACAGCGATCTCCTTTCCGTGAGGTGATGGTATTTATGATTGGAGGCGGCAACTACAACGAATACCAGAATCTGCTGGCTTACGCCAAGGGACAGCAGCCGCCGCGGTCGATCTGGTACGGCTGCACAGAGCTTCTGAACCCCGAAGCATTCTTGCACCAACTCAGCTCCATCGGAGCCTAAGCTTCAAGAGAGAGATCCCCACTGAGTCAAATACTTCTGTACGTAAGGTTGTCGCTCTTTGAAACTGCAGGTACATCACAATTTCTGATTTTGTCGGATCCATGCGTCGATCGACTCCAACGTGCATCCCACGTTGAAGCCCTGCTAACCTCTGCTGCAAAATTATTGCGTAATTTGTTTGGTCATACTTCAGAAGTATATTTTACTGAACAGTACCCGTACATTTACCAAAAAGACACGCAGCCAAAATTACTCGCAGCTTGCAATACAAATTTCTCTATGTTTCCAGCCGACCAAGCCGACCGGCCGCAACAGCCTCCTTTTGTAGCGCTTAGCGGTCGATTTACAAGTCCAGAGACGGCCCTGTTTTGCGCGGCTTATCAGTGCCGACCGACCGACCTGTGCGCCGATGAATGGCTTTATCTGGGCAAATGTTGATGGTATCTCGAATTCGACCGACCGCTCTTCAGCGCCGTTGACTGTAAAAGAAATTCTCCCATCGCTGGGACGATGCGCCATGACGCGCATGGGCGGGCATGAGGAACGGCTACGTTCCAGCCAACCGCTGTGGCCGAAAACACTCACCACACGCTGGTTTATTGAGTTGGGAAAAGTGTCACGCACCTGTCTAGGTTGCTTTCTGTGCAAAGTTGCCCGATACCAGAAGCCAGAGTCCCACTGTTTCTATTCGCGGCCTGTTACACTAAAACACGGCCGCCCTCCGTCACATCGGAATCTGCCAGCTTCAACACGCACACCGATCCGTTGATAACCACACGATGAACCAGGGCTGCACCGCCACCGTATTAGAGCACGAGTTGGCTGCCTTTGCGCTGCCAGCCGGCCTGGACTGTCCGCCAACATCCCGCTTTTCCTGCCGCTTGGACGGCAGCCTCGATGCGTTAGATGTTGAGCTAAGCGCGCCGGCTCTAGCAGACATCATCGAGACAGACTTCGACTGCATTCCAACCACCCCCAGCTACAATAGCCCCGGTAGTACTACGAGCAGTAGCAGTAGCGCGACACCAAGCCGTAAGACCAAGCACGATAGCAACGTCCTGACTTCCGTATCCCCCAAGCCGCATCGGCACCACTCGAAAAAGGCCTCTCGGAAGCAGGTGCACGAGCTCCAGGTGATGGTCAACGTCATGCAGGCGCAGGTCGACAGCGCAGCCGCCGAGATCCAGCAACTGGCGCAGCTCGTGGGCCAGTTCGCGCACCAGCGTGAGCAGGAGCAACAGGAGCACGAGCACGTCCGGAGGCGAGAACAGCAGCTATTTGAGGAGCACGAGATGGACATGGACCTCGACACGCAGCAGCGACACCTACGAGCGCAAGTCAAGCGCGATCGCGAGCAGTATGAGCGCGAGCAGCAGCAACAATGCTTCGATTGTCCCGCGGCCCCTGGGGAGAATAGATTCCGATTCTAGATCCTTCAACGACGAAGTACTTGTCTTTCCATCATCCCTATTGTCACCCCATACCCAACGCTGCAATCAACGGACAGCGAACACCCCTTCGAGCGGTCGATCTGTGTCACGCGGGCTCATTGCCAGCACTCTTCGATGAACAACTTCGCTGTCTAACAGAAAGATTTTGCTCTCGGAAGTGGCGCAGATCAAGTGTCGACGTTGGACAACAATTGGTCGTTAGTGCCAACGGCTTTATCAGCCTTTTATCATGCGCTGCATGCAAATTATCACCTTCACGAAATGATTTACTACTACATGTAGCTCCACTCAGCGACACTTTTTCCTGAGTGCAGTTCGACAAGCAAATTAAAAGTATATTAGTGATGAACATTGTTTTCGTTGTCTTTCACTATCATGTAAATGTACGGCAACCGCGAGCTCTCAAGGAACTCAAACGCAGTCGTTGCCGCTAATATCGAGCGAGGAGAAGTCGTGCGTAGACTTCACCACCTTGGCCTTGTACGCTATTGTCTTCCCCCGCGTCCACGAGAACGAGTTGTCCCACGACAGCACTACCGTTCCACCTTCTGACGCCGTGAAGGAGCTTGCAACAGAGGCTCCACTCGAAACACGTTCGGGGCCTACCTTATCGTTTTCCTCCGCGCCACCGATGCCTTGCGTTCGGAATTTCACTGCGAACATGATATCACGGTCCTTCACCACGTACTCCCAGCAGAGAGTGTCATTGGCGCTCATACGGAATGGCAATTGCAATGTGCCTCCAGCCTTAATATCCGCTTGGGTTGCGCCATCTTCACAGAGTAAAACAAACGTATTGCGACCGAGGAACCCTGTCTGAGGGATCGCCTGTGTCGTGCTTCGACCTCCCAATAGTTTCGGTAGGTTGTCCCGTCCACCCGATAGCTCCAGCAGTCTCTCGAGCGAATTTCCGTCCATATGCACCTTGCGCAGTTGAGTTTCCTGAAGCATGGGCTTGATAGCACTCCAAACCTTGTCAAAGATCCACGGAGCATGAAGAACGAGCACCTTGTGCATCGATTCTGGGTAGCATTTAGTGGCAATCGACACGAGGGGCCCCAGTCGCTTTAGTAACTTCGGGTTAGAACGAGCGACAGAAAAACCCGTGAGGTCGCGGACGAGTATCGTTTGCACCAGCTTTTCGTGTTGACGACTCAGTTGGTCCAGCTTCAGTGCTCGATACTCCATGGAGTAGAGGAAGAAAGTCTGCCATTCCTCTTCCGTGACATCGGTCACCAGCTTCTGGAAATCGGCGTAGCCTGTCATTTCGAAGTAAAAGACATGGCTGTCAGGAGTCGAGAAGACGTCGTACGAGTCGAGGAACGGCAGATGCGGGATAATCTTTTGGAAATGCGGAAATTCATCGGGTATCTTGTTGTTGTTGACGACGTCATCGCGAATATCGTCGAGCTTGAGTTTCTGACGTAGCGCGAGCATCTCCCGATACTTTGTAGCCGCAACCGAAACATTCATTTTATGACCTCGTAGAAAGCGTAGCAGACGGACGTCTCCCACGAGTTCAATATACTTGGCGTGTCGTTCGGCCTTGAGTTCTTCCTCCAAGCTCAAACGAAGTGCTGTTCACGACAGACACACGTTAGTGACATTATCAATTCTCTTCATAATCAAGTCGCGGTACCGTGAAGTTGGTTCTTCTCCTCTTGAGCATTCTCGGACGCTATGAAGCAGCTCCACTTCGAGTTTTCATCCACCAAAACCTTGGACGCTGATCCGTGCACGACTGGAATCTCGCTTAGTCCGTCCATCATCTCCATCTGATCCGATTCACCAGCAGCTTCACCCTCCTTGTCCGCATCAACACTCTTACACGAATAAAATCGCTCCAACCCTGAAGACGGAGCTCGCTCCCGGTGTTCAGGCAAACTCAGGCGACGCACGCGCTCCTTCTCCATAGCTTTCACCGCCAGCTCCTGCGAGAACGCACGCTCTCGTAGATTCTGGATCTGCACATTCTCTGCTTCGGAGATGCGTCGGTTGCGTTCTTCCTCGGCGGCTTCAATTGCTGCGACCTGGCCACGTCGGCGCATCATCTCGTCCTCCACCTTGGCGATTTCGTACTCGTGCACGCGTCGCTCCCGCTCCTCTTCCTCAGATGTGATGGAGTACTCAACGTTAATCTGCCGGACAACGGCAATCTCGTCTTCGCGATCCTTCTCCTCCGCCATGCGACGTCGTTGTTCCTCGTCCGCCAAGTCGTCCGCCAGCTTCTTGTTTGCAGCACGCTCCGTCTCCAGAGCTGCGAGATCCTCGGGCGTCTCGCCTACTGCATCTCCGCCCTTCTCGAATAGGAACAAACCTGCGCTGCCATGGCGTCCAGCGCGCTGCTCATCATCCACAGCTTGCACTTCCTCCATCTCGTGTCCAAAATGATCTCTTGAGCTTGAAGAGACACATGGCTTAAAAAAGTACTTCGCTAAAAATTGCAAATTTGATCATGCATGTTTTTTCAACACAAAAAGTTGCCGGCCTACAAAAAACAGTCAACGAGCTAATCGAAGTGCGCAATGAGTGCGGAATTGATCGCGCCCGCGCTCCAAGAGGGTGACTGGCTAGGTAACATGCTCGCACTTTCGCAACCTCGAAAATAGTGATTCCTAACTTCTTCTCGTGCAGATGTCGTGGACGGCGACGGCATTTGGAACGTGGCGCAGGTGCTGCGGCTGCCGACGCCCGAGACCGTCGAGGTGACGTACGACTGCTGGGGAGACGAGTACAACGAGGAGCTAAGGCGCGACAGCGAGCGGATTGCTCCCTTCCACACGCACACGTGGACTGTCAAGTGTTGGGCCAAGCTCGATACGTGGCCCTGGTGGCCGGCACTGCTCACGGTGAGAGCTCCCGGCTCGGCACAGGGCTCACAGAACTTGAGGCTGGAGGGAAGGCTACTTGTGGACTTCCTCGACAAAGTAGAGTTCAAGGAGCGCTGTCGGTGAGTTTTTAAACATAATGTTTTTTTTTTAATTTAACTAACGTTGATTAAAAAATCTTATTTGAAGGTGTTGGGTGGAGAAGAGTAAAGTGACCGCGTTCCAGTCCGATGAAGAGGCGAGGAATGTGTTGACGAAGCTTAAGAAGAAGAAGAACAAGAGTAAAGGGGAAGTGAGGCTGAAGAATCTGGCGCTCTCCACTGAGTTGCTAAGCATGTGCGACGCTCGAGAAGATTTCCCAGAGTTTGTGGAGGGCACACTGCCTGTGCAGTTTAAAAAGAATTATACGCGGCCGACGGCTGCAGTGAGAGAGGAAATGGGCGAAGAGATCTGGAAGCGCGAATTCGCTGATAACAGGGTAAAGCACGCCTCCACGCACGCGTATCTCCCTCTACTCCGTGATGGAAGTAATTCGGACAGTGGAAATTTAACGGAGAAAACAGGGTCGAGTCCAGCAAAATCTGGTCCGACGTCACACGATCGAGCAACAAGCAGCTCGCCAGGTGCAGGAAAAGATGACGCGTCGAGCGTCTCTAAAGAGTCCAAGGAACCGAAGGATGTTACTGTTGCACCGGAGAATCCCGAAATCCCGACACAGAAACCGGTAAATTTCCGAAAGAGAGCGAGGAGTCCTGAAGAAGAGGAGTCTTCTAGCAGCACTGATACCAGTCGAGCTGGAAAAACCAAAGCACCTCGTCAAGCACCTCAAGAGAGTCAGAGTACCGCAGCCAAGGAGACCCTGAGCACTGATACCGATCAAACTGGAGAGACTAAAGCACCACGTAAACAAACTCAAGAGAACGAGAGCACAACCAAGAAGACACACACATCAAAAACTGATGGCAATTCAGCGCAAGCAAAAAGAAATCAGAAGCCTAAACCGGCCGCCAAAGAGATCCACGTTTCGCCAAGGAAATACGGGAAGACGCCCAAAGTGTTGAGATCTCAACAAAAACGAGCAGCTAACCTGCCGCCATACACGCCACCCCACACTAGGGTGCTACTTAAGGCGAAGCCGGGGGATGAGAAGAATGTCACTCGCTCCAATATCCCCAATCACGCTCGCGATGCGCCGTGTGCCAAGACAGGTATTGATATTGCTTTGTGTTGATGTTTTACCTCATTCAAGGTGCTAACAGCTGAATCAGACGTTGCAGACAAACATTTACTGCCCACTGATCAACAAGAGACGAGCGCTGCTGCGAAAAAGAACGCAACGAACGAGTCGAAAGATGTTGAGGAATCGACAAGCCCCATGAAGAATCTTGCTCGATTGACGAAGGCTACCGTGCGCGCTGATGAGCAGCTGCAGAACATAGAAACCGCGTTGGAGAGTAAGCTCACTGAACTCGCAGAGAAGTCAGCTAAGGCTGAAGAGCTGCGGAACAAATGCGCTGCCTTGAGTAAGTTGCAGCATTCTTTTGCTGGCGGCATGATCTAACGCTGTCGTTATCCTTTTAGAAACCAGAGTGCTATCTCCACCTCCAGCTCCTGCTAGTCCCACCCACATTCCTCAAGAGGAATTGCCACATGAGAGTAGTCCGACACACTCGTCAACATCGATTTCTATCCGTGAAGCGCAGAAGGTTCGGAAAGAGAGTACACGGCGGGAGAAGAATGCTAACGGCAGGCCGGGAGACACTCGATCACCAACACTTGCACGAAGGTCATCGCCAGCCAAGTGCGGTATCCGAGGGTTGGAGTTAGTGCTGGACGATCTCCTCGCCAAGGACCTAAACCAGAGTCTTAGTGCCGCCACAACCAGTACGTGACTTCTGTTCTGCGACGTTCATATCATTTTCTAACCGCTGTGACTGCGTGTACAGCCGCTGAGCTGGACGCTATCAAAGCTGAATTACTGGCATTTCCGGAAGTTCGAGCTGCCATCGCTCGTATACAGTACCCTAGCTACGCCACAGCTACGCGAGGTGTGTCTTGTGTTGCAGGACTTCCTCCCCGTAAAGCATCGTCACTATCAGGCGACAATGACCGCCGCGTATGGGAGAAAGCAAAGTCTCGCTTCACTAAATACGCCGCATCGACACCGTCACAGTCTTTTGAGCCAAAGAAACTGTCGCCGTGGTCGCCAAGTCAACAGTTTGTCGGCTCGTGGGGCTATCAAAGCGACGTGGAGCTCAATACTGAACACTTCCAGAGCCCTTCTAGCCTTCTGCTTGACTCGCTATCGCCTGATCAAAGCAGCTTTGGCTTCAGCGTGAACGACAACTTCTCGATGAATCAGTGGTATCAAGACTTGTATCCAAAGACCTTCGGCTTTCAACGACCAGAACGGTGAACGGCGAACTGTTTGTATTGTTACATGTGTTTCCTCATCGTAGGTGTAGCCATGTGAGTGAAAAGGGAATGTACAGAAACCGGGCTTGAAACACCAGAACTTGTACGACCACTCGTCATTTGCGATCGTGATGGCAGATTCGACGACTCGGACGCTGTTCGCCTGTGCGCTGGACGTGCTGACTACGGGTGACGCGTTCGCCAAGGCGGATAAAACGACCAAGTACGTAGCGCAATGGAAGAGCGGAGAGATCAACGTCATCTGCAACGAGGAGGACGACGTGAACAACGTTCCCGACCATCCGGCACGACCCGAGAACGTGGAGGTCGTTCCAGCGTACAAGGCCAAGCAGGGGTCTCGCAAGGCCTTCGTGCACAGGTAAGCAGACGAACAAAGCGCTGCCACGTTTGTGTGTTGGTATTTCTAACTATTTCCTTGTGTTTATTGGGTGGCGAGCAGCTTGGCGCATGCAGAGAGCTACGCGATTGATCTGATGTGGGATATTATGGCTCGATTTGTCAACACGCCGCTGCCACGTGCATTCTATGACGACTGGGTTCGTGTTGCTGGTGAGGAAGCAGAGCACTTCAGTAGTTGGGCGCACCGTCTGACTGAGCTGGGTAGTTTCTACGGTGATCTCGCGGGCCACGAAGGTCTCTGGGATGCTGCGTTGGAGACTCGTGACAGCATTCTAGCACGTCTGGCAGTGGTGCATCTTGTTCACGAGGCTCGTGGTCTTGATGTGTTCCCGAACGCGGTCAAGCGGTTTGAGAAAGCCAGCGACGATACAAGTTTGGAAATTATCCACAAGAATTACAACGAGGAGACTACGCACGTGGGGGCGGGAGTACGATGGTTCCGATACGTCTGCGAACGCGACGGTATGGATCCGATTGCCAAGTTCCACGAGATTGTGCCGCAGTACTACAAGGGCTTGCTGAAGCCGCCTTTTAATAAGGAGGCACGAGACGAGGCCGGTATGCTGGAGGAATGGTATCTCCCGCTTAGTACAGAGGCAGTTGCTGCTGCAGAGAAGCAGTCTACTGGCGGTGTGACGGTCGACGAGGCGTCTGCTGCGATCTCATCAATAAAACTGGATGCGACATCAGCTTAGAGGCGAAGCACGCAAAACTGAAGGCGTATGGGCTACAAGAGAGCTCGGAAGTTTAAGGACCAGCACACTTGCCGAGGCCGCTCGATAGTTTCCGACCTCTTCGCCACCATCCACAGGGTCTTGTCCGTGTTTAGCATGATTGTCACTGCCACTCACAGCGTAAGGTATGGACTTACTAAGTTTACTTTCTTAAGACACGCCTGCTATTTTAGCTGCGGTGCTACCTTTGCGACAGATGGCTCGTCCAAGGTTTCAGTAGAGTCTGCTCTACCGATATTGAATGGTTTTTTCCATGTGCACGTTCACCTGTTTGCTGCTCACCATAAGATCGTCCGCGGGAGAAGTGCCATGACGTCCACTGATACAACAATCACTTCCAGTTTCAGCGAAGTGAGACCATGACACGAGGTCCTTTGCTGCTGCTGCTAGGCTGCATCTCAAGTGCTTCTGCGACAACGTACTCCATCACATCGTACTACGCTGGAGCTGCTCGAAATGCGACGCCTTACTTCGTTCTTGTGGAAGAATCATCTGAGTGCGCGATCGAAATGCGAGCCGTAGGAGACGATTCCGACAAGACGTTGGTAGAGTGCTCTACCGACTACGTTGCTTCTGTCGGAAAGCAGTTTGGCAGCTCTCCGTACATTCTTCAAGTCCAGTTCGACAGCTCCGAGTGCACCAAGTTTTCTTGGAGTTCCCGTATCCGCCAAGTGCGAGGGCTGTTCAGACCTCTCGTTCACTAATTCCAGCATCGGTCGAATTACCGTCAACGGGTCTGCAACGATCGATTGGTTCTCTCAACCGCAGTGCCAAGAAACCTCGTGGTTTCAAAGGGATTCTGTCGACGTGAAGACCCTCGAGATCCATTCCTGTGACGTCAACTGGCGCAAATGGTACAGCAACAGTGACACCCGTCGATTGACAACCACCAGCGAGTCCAGTGGCGCCGGTGTCGTTACTCCTGATGTGGGCTCCACCTCAACGTCGACTTCAGCTTCAGAAAATACCGACCCAACCAGCGACACCACGACCAATTCCGGTACAGTTGATAATGGTGGTTCCTCGAGTACAGGGAGTGAAAGCAAGCTCTCTAGCAGCTCCAAGTCGGGCAATGGAGGCTCAAGCAATGGATCGTTTCCGGTATCGGACGCGTCTGGTAGCAGTATCAGCACTGGTGTGATCCTTGCTATTGTTGGTGGGTGCATCGCTGTCATGGTCGTTATCTGTGCTGTTCTGCTTTCTCGCCGGCGTCTCCGTGGGAAGGACGAGTTTACTCTGCAGCCCTCAGAGACTATACAGTACACGGACATGACTTCACCGAAAGGAAAATCGCGAGGACAGACGAGATTGTGGGACGACGATGTCATCACTGCTAAAAGAATCTCCCGCGAGGAGATTCAACTTCGTGATCTCATCAGTCGAGGTGGGAACGGAGAAGTCTACGCCGCAGTCTTCCACGGACGTGCAGTTGCCGTCAAAATGCTGCTCCCCGCTACTCGCGCCGAGATCAAACACGTGAACGAATTTCTAGCGGAAGCCAAGATGGCTGCGACGATGGACCACCCACGTGTTATCTCGCTCGTCGGAGTAGCGTGGAACGCGCTCTCCGACCTTTGTGTCGTGTTCGAGTACATGGACGGCGGCGATCTGCGGACTCTGCTGGACAAGTATGAACGTTCAGGTCATCAAGCTGGAATCGACTTCCAGAAGGCAACAATCGCGATCCACATCTGCCATGCGCTGACGTATCTGCACTCGCTGATGCCTTCAGTTATCCATCGAGACTTGAAGTCACGCAACGTGCTGCTGAGTCGTAAACTGGACGCCAAACTCACAGACTTCGGTATCTCGAGAGAGCGTCTGGACGCGACTATGACAGCAGGTGTCGGTACTTCGTTGTGGATGGCTCCAGAGGTGATGATGGGAGAAAGATACGACGACAAAGCGGACATCTTCTCCCTCGGCGTATTGCTGTCGGAACTGGACGTGCACTCGATCCCGTACTCAAATGTGAAAACGACGATGTCGGACGCAGTTCTGTTGCACCAAATTGTTGAGGGCAAGATTCGTGTGGCGTTTTCGCAATTCAGTCCACGTGAGTTTTGGGATCTGGGCCACGCGTGCACATCAGTGAACCCTCGTGATCGTCCGACTGCGGCCGAAGCGCTGTACAAATTGCAGATGATCCTCTCAAACTTGAAAAACAGTCAAGTTGTGGACTCGCGTGCAAGCTATGTGCTTTAGTTCCGTGTTCGGCTTGAGATGTGGCTGAGCTGTATCGTACAGTTCAGTAGCTACTTGGAACGTTCGTGTATGCCGACAATCCAGTCATAGCCCACTGCGAGACTCCGTGTAGGCATGTGATTAGTACCGGCAAGGGAGATTTATCGTTGTCTTAGCTAAGCTCTTTGCGGTCCGTAAAAAAAATTCTCGGCCTCACGACCTTCTTGATAGCTTCCATTCAAACTCACATTTTTTTTCATTAGCGAACTATTTAGAATCCGTATTCCATACTAATTGATATAAGGGTAAGAGAACTAACTGGGATTTTTATTTGACGTTGTGATAATATTCCAATAGGTCCGAGCTGATCAATGAAGGCGAAAATTCGAGCTGGACCTCTCGCGATTCTTTGTCTGGCGTGAAATACAAGAAAACTCCAAGTTGGTGAGCAAATATAGCGACTTTCATTTTCAGGTTCGTTCGTAGGGACAACAACTGTGACATATATCGATGACGAAGCAAGCAAGAGGCGTAAAGGATGTTTTTGCGTATCTGCTGCTCATAGAGTGCCAAGACAAAGGGTTTAATTCTTCTTGAGCTGATTGTCCATTTCGCTGAGCCTCATTGTTGCAATGGGCATAGAATTACGTGACACAAATGAACTTGTACTCGTTGCCCACTGTTCTCATGACCCTGTCCTCTCAGAGTGTCGACAAGGAAAATACCAAAGGTTGATTAACTGATGCCGAAGTCTAACCTTTTCAAAATATACCCATTCCAGTTTTAATCACTGACCTTCGACTTTGATCGATAATAATGTGTTTGCCGTCTCATTCTCTGCAGATTCCCAAATTTTCGGGATTAATAATTCTGGATTTTGTTCCCGATTCCCAGTTGTTGGCGATTCCAAGACTAAAAATTACTTCTTTTCCTTGCACATTACATGCTCGTTCCATCATAAAGATCAATGTTGCCTATAAAGTATTGTTTTTCAATGACCACCTTGCAATTATACATGTACAATTTACTGCTACACCGCTATCAAATAAAGTACGGATCAAAAACTCGTGCAACCTGTTTACATCTGCGGAGTGGACATGTCGATCAGCACACCACACGTTCCCGCTTTAGACGAGCTGCGGGCAAGTCGGATGTAGCCTCCCTCACCCCATTCCGGGCCCCACGAGTTGCGGATCTTGATCGACGAGGAATCATAGCCCACCGCAACAACGGCATGATCTGGTTGCCAAGAATCGCACGAAGACACCACGCCACCCGTGTACTGCTTCCAGACGCTGTTTGCTGACGCCACCGCTACGATCACCGGGTGTTCGTCTAGTGCACGCAGCAAGTCATCTTCACCAGAAACTTTTGCATACCCTGTGAGTCCTGTGTCCTGTGCAGCACAACTTCGACTGCAAGACCTGGTATAGCCGCCGCCGAACGTGTACGGGTAGCTCTCTTCCGAGCAAAGACCATTTTGCTGCACGTAGTCAAACGCGTAGAACGGAGAGCCGCCATAGCAGCCCCAGTTCTTCGTGTTGCAACTCACCAATTGCTGCTCCGAGTACTTAACAAACAACTCCTTCCCGCTTGCAATGCATTGCGCCGACTCGACAGCTGATACCGTGGCAAAAGCCCAGCAGGAGCCACACGAACCTTGACTTTGAATCGGAGCCATGCACTTCGATGTCGACCAATCCACCGAGTCGGAGCTGGCCTTGGTCACTACTGGAGACGGAGTCGTGACTGGAGAGTAAGTCGTCGGTTCGCCGTCCAAGATATCCGAAAATTTGTAGCTCTCTTGGCTTCCGCCCGTTTCCGAAGAAAAAGCGCTAGCAGAGCTGTCAGTTGAAGGCTGGACAGTGCCTGTATCCATCCCGTTGATGAAAGATGTGATGAGGGACTTAAGAGCCGTAATGATCGAAGTGGTGCCGGAGCCAACGTCGAAGGTCAAATCCGAGCTACCGGCACTGCGTAGGTGGCGTGCGCTTGTTCGGTTGTCGTTTTGCGTTGAGTTTCCGCTAACGTATGAGTTGACTACGTACTTGTTGAACTCCTCGTCAGTCATAGCTGAGAACGGCGACATGATGGAGAAGTTCGCGTTGGGATTCGCTGCTTGGACCTTAGCAATGCTCTGCTTAGTCAAGAAGATGCGTTGGCGGAGATCTTCCTCTTGGTCGTCTGTGCTGCGGGCCTCCGAGACAGGCATCCAGCCGTTCTTCTGGGCTACGTCACCGAATTTACTTCTCCACTCGTCGAGATCTGCCTGGGCAGTGTCGATCTCTTTGAGATATCGTTGGTAGTCGATACCCGAGTGCATTGGTCGGGCGAAAGCTGGCGTCGTTGAGGCGGCGAATGCTATCGCAAAGCAAAGAGTTGAAACGTGCATTGCTTTGAGGAAGATCTCGACTGTCAGAACAACCTTCACGGTGGTACTTGTTGGAGTGAAGGCAATTCCAGAAGTGTGCGTTGGCTGCACATGGATCGCAATGAAGCTACTTCTAGATTAACCCCTCGCGTACAGAGGAAAACGAGCTTTGACGTGACGAGCGTCGAGTACACGACGTCAATGTCCCAGCTGGAAGACCAGACATTTTCGCGCAGATAGCGTTTCGCGTCCACGCAATGCAAGCACCGCAACGGCGAGTTCTTCCACGACAGTTGTCGCAACTGGAGACTGGACTCCAGTCTGGAGCACCCTTTCGTTGCGGGTGGGTGGCTGTCGGTCCTTACTTTACAGAGGATAACTGGCGAGAAGAGGTTTCCAGTTTCATTGATGTATCCATTTTCTTCACGTTCCAAGAAATCAAGAAATACTTCTTGAACGATTTTCTTTTTTTCTTACTGAAGAATTATTTCGGAAGAGAAAGTGAGAGTCGGAACATTATAACGCTCAAATTGCTAGAATGATCCAAAATTTACTAACGTCGGTTTAGCTAGCCCTCGAAAAACGCTCCTTCTTTATTGTTATTCCAAACGACAGAACCTTAAGAAGTTGGCTTGGAGACAAATGGCTTTGTGTACTACTACGTATTATTTACAGGTGACGCTTTGACGCATCTTACATTTATGACAGAATCCACAAAAGACACAGCTCCTTGTTTACATCTTCGGTCGAGACATATCAGTGAGCATGCCACAGGTGCCCATACCGGACGAGCTGCGTGCCATTCTCACATATCCAGCCTCTCCCCAGTTCTCACCCCACGAGTTTCGGACCTTGAAAGTGTTGTCGTCGTAGCCCACGACAAGCACCGCGTGATCCACTTGGGTAGTTTCACAAGTGGACATGATACCACCCGTGTACTGCTTCCAAGCTGCGTTACCCGAAGCAACCGCCACGACAACAGGCTGTGACTTAAGAGCTTCAACGAGTCCAGCTTCGTCGCCTTCATTGATTCGCTCGTATCCTGTGATCCCCGTTTGGCTCTTTGAGCAACTGGCACTACAGGATACCGCGCCACCATTACTGGAAGTGTACGGAAGGGCACTCTCCGAACAAAGTCCGTTTTTCTGGATGTACTCGTACGCGTACACGGGAGCACCACCGCCACAGCCCATGTTTTTACTGTCGCACCCCACTAACTGCTGCTCCGAGTATTTGTTGATCCCCGACTGACCATTTTTGATACATTGGAGCGACTCCACCGCAGCTACGGAAGCGAACGCCCAGCAGGAACCACACTGACCTTGGCTTTGCACAGGAGACATGCACTTCGAAGCGGACCAATCGACCGAGTTGGCAGTTTTGAGAATGGCCTTCTCGGTTCGGACTGGAGTCGAAGATTTCTTAACTAAGGGCTCCACAACGGGGGCAGGTGTGACGGGAGCGTACGTCCTTGGAGCTGCTGTCCTTGGCTTTGCTGTGACTGGTATCGGAGCTGGCGTGGGTGCCGGTGTGGGTGCCGGTGTGGGTGCCGGTGTGGGTGCCGGAGTAGGTGCTGGAGTGGGTGCCGGAGTGACAGGAGCTGGAGCTGGGATCACAGGCGCTGGAGCCGGGACCACCGGGGTTGGTGCGACGGAAGGGAAGGTGGCAGGGATCGTCCAATGCCACTGCCTGGCGTTCGAAGTGTCTGTGCTGTCAGTGGCAGGCTTCACAGTTGCGAACGACCAGGACCCACCCATTTGCTGCTGAAGACTCTGCATAAGCGAATTGATCATGTCCTGCATGCTCGTGAACGTGTACGTCCCCTCTTGCCGCAGCGATCGCTTGGGTGGTGCTGGCGTCGGTATAGGAGTGGGTCTTGTCGCGTTGCCCTGAACGTACGAGTTGAGAACCTTCGAAGCGAACTCCTCCTTGGTGAGTGCCGAAAACGGCGTCATGATTGAGAAATGGGCGTTCGGGTTCGAGGCTTGAGCCTCTAGGACGTCCTGCTTGCTCATGAAGATACGCTGACGCAAATCTTCGTCCTGATCGACTGAACTGCGCTCTTCGGTTGAATATTCTGGCATCCAATTGTTCTCTTTGCAGGTTTTCTCAAACATTGCTTTCCATTCGTCCGTCTCCGCTTTAATGTTGTCAATCTCAGTGAGGTAGCGCTCGTAGTTGATGCCGGCGTGCATCGGACGCGCATTGACAGGCAACACTTCAATCATTGAAGCTGCAATTAAACAAGTCGTGACTAAAGTTATCGGCTTCATGATCACTGAGATTAAATGTAGTTGCGAGCACTTGCAGGCCAATTAACGAGTGAGCGTCGAGCAATTCTTCGTATCCACCGAACTCCCGAAGCCACGGAAGAGTATCTGATCGCGGGACATCTGCTATAATAAATAGAGCACATCCAAGTGGATCAAGTAACTTGACAAGTTCGAGCTGCAAAAAATTAAAATCTGTTCGGCTAAAGGCGCTGTGGCGAGAGTTCTGTCCGACCAGGTGACGAGTCGACAGCCACTGTTTCTTGAAAGCGCTCGATTAATGTAAAATAGCGGTGTCTAAGACATTCGCCAGCGCATTGAGTGCAGTAGTGTCAGAATCTCGCTGCTACTGTAAGCGTACTGTAGATATATCCTTGTCTCGAGACTCTCGACAGGCCACAGCTCGCGGATGCATGTAATACTTCGTATATATTTGCGTTACCGGTACTGTATCTGGTACTGTTAGTTAGTATTGGGTTGTCCTGTGTTGCCTTGATAGCATGTGATTCGGCGGAAACATGTCAGTTTGGACGCGTCCAGCATTGCATGGGCAAGTGAACCGCTCGAAGGTCTAGCTGCCTCACGTCACAGGAACGACGATGTCAGCTGTGTGCGCTCATGGCAACATGGCATACGTCTGGAAGAGGATGCAGAGGCGAGGGCTTCTCGCGTGCGCGCCAAGTGGTAAACCTTGTGGAGCCGTGTCATGTACCATGTGGTAGTGAACGCCTGGCGAAATTGCCTGGTCAACACGAAGTTGAAGCTGTCCCCACCGAAAAACTACGATCATTGCACTTGTTATTTGACGCATTTATTGCACTCTACGCTACCACATACACAACCACAAACTACATGCATGCTTTGAAGTACGCCGTAAAGTTAGAAGGTAGGGTACGACATATCGCCATACATTCCACAGGTGCCCGTGGTGTCACTCGTTCGTTCAAGGCGAATATAACCTTCCTCACCCCACGAATCGCCCCACGAGTTGCGGATCTTCCACTCGCTGTCTGTGTAGCCTACCACCACGACGGCGTGGTCAAGTTCGCTAGTGTCACACGACGAGATGACGCCGCCTGTGTACTGTTTCCAAGCGTTGTTACCCGACGCCACAGCGATTATCACGGGTTGTTGAGCGACTGCGCTAGCAAGCCCCGATGCATCATCCACCGTTTTGTAACCTTTGATTCCTGTATCAACAGCTGAGCATCCAGTCGAACACGACGCCGCCGTGCCGTCTGAAGATGTGAACGGGTAGTCGTTTTCCGTGCACAACCCGTTCTGCTGGACGTACTTTATGGCGTAGATCGGCGCACCGCCGGAACACCCGTGGTTTTGACTGTCACAACCTGCTCCGAGTATTTCTGAAGTGTCTTCTGACCGCCATGGATGCATTGTCCAGATTCAATGGCCGCAGCAGTGGAGAAGGCCCAGCAATCACCACACGAACCTTGGCTCTGAATGGGGGACATGCAGCTCGAGTCCGCCCAGTCCACCCTGCTCGAGGTAGAGGATGTGTCTGTGGCCGTCACCGTTGCCGGCGACGTAGAAGTCTTTGGTGGTGACGGAGTGACCGTCGTTTCCGTTGGGGTGGGCGTTGGAGCTGCGGTGGTAGGCAGCGGGGTAGAGGGGGCATCGGTGATTGTCGAAATTGAATTCGAGCCGGCAGGTTTGACCGTCTCAGGCTGGAAGTCGTTCCGACCCATGCCGCCAAAGTTGAAGCCATTGCCCCATTGCTGCCAGAGCGACGAGAAATCGGATCCAAAGCCGAAGTTCGACGGAGTGGATCCCGAGGAAGTAGAGACGGTGGTGGATTCCCTGCCAGGTCCTGAAGATGTAGTTGTAGTTGTTGTTGTAGTGCTCTTACCATCGGCACCGGTGGAGGTGACTGTCTTGACATTAGTCGCATCGTAGGTTGTACCGCCGTTTGCAGCCCCACTCAGCATCGGGTTGCTATTAGTTCTGCTGCTAGTGCTCGTAGTCGTCGTTTTGGCAGGCGAGCTGCTGCTGTATGTCGTTTCAGAATTGCTACTTCTGTGCCAGCTTCGAAGCCGGCGGGTAGTGGACACAGACGACGCATTGTAGGCACGATAAGATTTACCCACGTAGGCAGCGAACTCGTCATTCGTGAGCAGAGTGAACGGTGTGTTAACTGAGAAATTCGCATTCGGATTTAGCGCCTGAATGGCCGATATGTTCTGTTTGGTCATATAGAACCGTTGGAGGTGGTCCTCATCTTCGTCGTCGGTGCTGCGCTCTTCGGAGTTGCCACTGGAGGGCGGCATCCATCCGTTGTTCTGGGCCATCTCGCCGAAATTGGCTTTCCAGTCGGCTAATTCCTGTCTGGTTTCGGCTCGTTCGGCTAGATAGCGGTGGTAGTCAAGACCGGCATGCATCTGCCGTCCGTCAACGCCGAACACGGCCATCGCCGCCGCTGCCGCGACCTGGATAAAGTGGTTTCTCGACTGCATTCTCGGGGCAGGACTTGTTCGCAGCAATCAAATCAAAGAGTGAGCATTGAAGTCTCCGTTCGCCATGAGCCAGGAGATGCAGAGGAGCGTCAGGCCGTGACGTGGTGATCGAAACGAATTGGACACACTCGCCACCACATGCCAGATAGTTGTGGCACCCAGGATTATTTCCGAGACGCCAAGGCAGAAGTAGAGACCGTCTTGTTCATCTGGTGACTTAGCACCCGCCTCATGCTTATGCAATACCTGATGGTGACCATCACAATCGTTCTTCACACACAGCTGGTGCAAAGTTAGCATAGCCAAGTACAGTACTGCACGACCATATAGGATTTGCAAATAAATCATATTTTAGCTTACAAATTATAGTTTTTTGTAATGAAGAATCATCACATCCAGAAGTTTATCAAAGGTCCAAGGGCGCGAAAACGGGGTGCAGTACTGTACTGTACATGTACCAGTATAAATAACTTGGCAAGTTGGCATTGCCAACACGTTTACTTGTAAGAGTTTACCGCAACGCTTGCATATTTAAGGACATGAATCGACTCCACAATGAAGAAGGATATTGGTCTAACCTGACCGAATTAAAAATGCCTTTTCTTCTGTGATATCTATAATTGCGGTAAATATCCCTCACGGAGTATCCTGTACTTTGTACGTAGTAAATGAAAAGACTTGTGCTGATCGAGTGGCTTGACTCCTAGAGCCACGATAATCTCGTGTCTCGTGCCCGGCACAACAGACTGTAGTACAGCTTGAACAGGAGGAAGCACGCACCGGATGCAGACTGTAGGCTGTCCAGGAAGGCCAAATGTCTCGCGTACTCTGCCAGCAGTGCCGGCCCGGCACTCGCCTGCATCTGTCGTCGTTGTCGCATCCGCTGGAGTCTTTGACTAATGAGAAGCTTTCGATGTCATCGTGTCTGGAGTACTGGTTCGAACCCCATCGTCGATCTTTTCGAAACCCAACAATGTCAATACACAACCATTGTCGATTTTGTTCGACTGCATGATTGAACGCAACGTTTACTTAGGACGTGTACTGTACACTGTGCGTGTGTTGTTGCTTTTGGAGCTCACACAATGCTCGGCATGCTGAGAAATTCAAGATGTCAGGTTGAAACAACACGTCGATTCGCAGTAGGAGAGTTTGCATTCGCACTGCAGTTGCCGACTGCCAGGTGGTTGTCAACGAGGCTCCTTGGAAAATGTGATGGTGGCATGCAGAGCCACATCTTCTAATAGCTCGTACAAGCCGCAGCCAGCACACATGGAGTGTGCTCCGACGGAGTATAGTGAAGCACATAATGAACTACATCATGATGCTGGTATGAACAGCGTTCAGCTGGATCATAAGAAGACACATGCGGATATTAAAGGACTCAGCTGCTGATGGACTTGCACTTGAGTGCAACCAGAGCAGGCTCTGAGGGCGGCTATCCATGGACTGCCAAGGTGGCAGGCGAGAGCGCCCGCAAGTTAAATTCGATAGCTCACTTTTGCTTTTGCAATCTAATCAACAATAAAAGTTGATCTTCGCAGGAGTTCCAGCTCCCAACTGTTGTTGACACGTCACAAAGTTAACTTTAGTTCAAGTGTGAACGATGAGAACTCGCAGCAGCCGCCAATCTCAGGTTGACCAAGGTTTCAGGTTGACTGAGACGACTGAAACGGCTGCCAGCTCGACTATTGGAGACATCGAAGTTTCGACGACTGCTGCGACAGCAATACCGGTGTCGTTTTCGTCAATTGTACCCCCGTACGTGAACGACATCTATCATCCTGCTCTTGTCAAATGGAAAATGGAAAGGCAGGAGTATGATGACGCAATCGAAGCTCGGTGCGCTACCACTGGCGAAGACAAGTCAAAAGCTCTACGGAGCGTAAAGAACTCGTTCAATCGGCAACTCCTGAAGACTCTCTGCAAGTTTGAGCGGGGAACCACCGTAGAGAAGATCACGGAGGACAGGATTCTGTCAGAGTTGGACAAGATCATCGGTAAGGTCATGCCTGATGCTATTCCGGATATTGACTCCATTTTTGATGTTAGGTTGAAGATGGACCTTGATCAACGAGACATTAAAGCTCGCGTCCTGAACTATTTCATGCTGATGAGATCATTTTGGAGAACGGACTGGCGAGTACCTTTGCTACAGCAACAGGTATTAAGGAAAAATGCCGAGTACTGAAGAAGCACTTAGCACCTGCGGCCCTACGTGATGCAGTGGATAGTCACCTACGACTTGTGGACACTACAAGCAAATCCGACGAGAACGCTCTGTACGTCCTCGTGAAAGAGAAAGCGCTGGAGCAGGCCAAGGTGGACCAATTACTGTCGACACGCAGGCAGCAATCAAACTGGAAAAACAGTGGAGGAAAGTCCAAGGGTGGTACTGATCGTGGCTCACGTCAGAAAAGTGACCAACCATCACCTGGCAAGAAAAAAGTAATATTGACGACCAACCCTGCACTGTCCTTGCAATGAAGTCGTCGTTAACTCCTGCGGTGAAAAGCTAACCACGCACGGGATGTTTTCACTGCGGTAAAGGTCATTGGCTCAGTGAATGCCCCGATTTTAACGAAGCGGGAAAAGAAGCAATTCTCGCTGATAAGAAGAGCAAGAGGAAGACCTTTAGTGGAAATGAGAATAAACGGTCTCGTACGAAGCGTGTGGTTATAACCTCGACGACGAACACGCAGGAGCGACCCACTGTCGTATTAAATGGACTCCTTGAGCTACCTTACTGCGCAGATAGTGGGTCGGACTACAATATCATGTCACGAGAACATGCTGATCGACTTTGCGAGCTTGATGAGAGTATTCTCGCTGTGGAATTGAGTAAGCCGATTGAATCGCGTGCAGCTAAAGGTACGATTTTGACATCGACCCACGCTATCGATGTGATCATCACATTAAATACGGCCGCGGGACCAGTATGATGCCAAGATCAGAAGCGATGCCTGATCGTGGAGTCCGACGAGAACGAGTTTCTGGTTGGTAAAACATTGTTAGCTGAGCTTGGCATAAATGTGGATCGTCAATTGAAATACCTTGCAACACGTGGAGACGATGATGAGACCTTTGATGACCCGGAAGGTATGCCGACCTGTAAGCCAACAGAGGAAGATGTGGTAATGAAGGTAGTGGATACTCTGGTACATGACGCAACTAACCGTGGCGTTGTGGATGAATACATCACGACCAGACTGTACACTATTTTACGCCGTTTTGGAGGCTGGAGACTGGAGGTTGGTAACGATCCACCAGCTCGAGCTCCTCCTCTAAAAATATGGCTAAAACCTGGTGCAGCTCCCTACCGGTGCAAAGTACGCCAATACAGCCCGAAAAAATCAGAATTTCTCGATGCTTTTAACAAGAAGCTTGTCGAATTGGGGTGGGCTTATGAAAACCGTGAGAGCCGCTGGTGCTGCTCAGCCTTAACGGCTAAAAAGCCCAGCACTGATGACTACCGACAAACATTGGATTATAGACCGCCAAATGCTCTTACCGAGCCTATCGCTGGTGTGATGCCGAGTCTTGAGGTGGCGTTGGAACTCTGTAGAGAAATGATGTACTACGCGATGTTTGACTTCCTCAAGGGCTTTTGGCAGCTCTCATTACACGAGAGCTACCGTGAATTTCTCTCGTACATGACCGACCGCGGCGTGTTCACGCCAACTCGGGCTCCACAAGGAAGCACCGACGCTGCCCTACACTTCCAATCGACGGTGGAAATGGTTTAGGAGATTTGGTGAACACGAGTGTCATCGTGTGGATCGACGACCTCCTCGTTTTTGCCAAAACGCTGATAAATTGGTTAAAATTATTGATGCCGTACTTCAGAGACTGGACGAGTTTGGATTTATCCTAAATCCAAAGAAATGCTCTTTGTTTCAAACGGAGGTCCGCTGGTGTGGCCGCATCGTCAACAAGGATGGAATCGGTCATGACCCGAGTCGCATCCAGGCCTTAAGAGATATGCCACCGCCAACGACCGCCGCCGAACTGCAGCAATTTCTCTGCGCCACCAATTGGATGCGCGCAGGTCTAGTTGACTACGCTCGTGTCGCAAGGCCATTACAGGAACGTCTCGATGCAGCCTTGGTCGGCACTAGAAAAAGCAAGAGAGCTGCAGCAGGGGTGCAAATCGACTTGACAGTGGGGGGGATTGAAAAGTTTCGATGTAGTAAGGGACTTGTTGGCACATTCGGCGACGTTATCATACCCAGATCCAACCAAGCAGCTAGTACTGATGTCTGATGCCTCTGATTATGGCTCGGGTTTAGCTGTATAGCAAGTGAGTCGATGGAAGCCGCAGATTCCGATCCGCCAACAGGACGATGAGTTGCTGGTCTGTATGGGAGGCAGTTTACTGGCTCAGCTCTTAACTGGATAGTTATCGAGAAGGAATCATTCCCGATCGTTCACGCGTGTGAACGATTGGAATATCTATTGCTTCGACCACAAGGGTTCAAACTATACTGCGATCATCGGGGAACATCGTCTACCTTTTCGCTCCCGGCAAAGAGTTAAAGAAGCATGTGTGCGGGAAGCTCTTACGCTGGTCCACTAAACTATTAGAGTACCGATACTCTATAGAGCACATTGAGGGGATTCACAACGTCTGGACGGACCTGATATCGAGGTGGGGCGGCAAACCCCTACCACGAGCGCGTATTCACTCGGCCAAGAGGTTTACATGAGCCAATCGCAAGCGTGGAAGCGGTTCAAAGGCGAGTCCAGCGCCTCCACCGCTACGCCCACTAGACCAGGACGGTTTCGTCTGGCCTACAGTCGAGGAGATTGGTAGCGTGCAATCACTGCACGACGCACCGAAGGGTGCAACACTGAGTGGTGATGAACTATGGCTTATGAATGACGTGATTTGGATACCAAGTGGAGCTCACGACTTGACTCAAAGA